AGCAGCAGGGTCATCTGCCACACTCCTTTACCACCAAAAATAAAAGCATCAGAAGACCTGTAAAACCTGGCAAAGCGTGACGTTAATGCACTTTTGAGTCACGTTTCACGGGATCATGACTGCCCCTCTTCCTAAGTCCATTCAGCGTCCCATCCTGTGCACTGGTCTCCTGCCAAACTCTTCGTCCCTTTTAACCTTCCGCAAGCAACATTCAGCACAGGCCTGGGGTCCAGCGGCCTTGTGGGCTCCAACGCGCCCCCAGTTCTGCAGGAGAGGTATAAACAAGAAAGGAGTAAGAAATGATCTTTGCAGCTTGTGTTATCGCAGATTGAAGACAGTTTTGTCTGCAATGCATTTTCTTAATATACACTGATCACTGTCACTAGTAACCAGAGGGAAGATGCTTTCAGTAGTCCCTTGAGCCTCACTGAAAATTATCTATTAATTTAAAAGGCTGTAGGCTACCCCTCATTATTTTGGACCCACTCCGCACACAGCGGCCAAACTGCTAAGATTTAGGGAACTTCTATTATCCTCAATGGGAGAGGATCTGTCACAATCCGGTTCATTATTTTAAGATACAATTCCTTCTGTTTGTCAACAATTGGACTAACGGCCCATTAGCAATAATTGGAAAAGGAAAACCAAGTTATACTGTTATTCATCTCCAATTATGAAAAGAAAGGTTCAGGTTTTAATTTTCTGCTCCACGGCTTTCTTGCATGAATAGTTAGAGCTTTGTGCTCGCACACACACACACAAGAAACTGCTAAACATATCATCTGAATTCCCATTTGGTGGAGAAAATGTAAATGTCTTTTTGTTGCTTGAGAGGCTTTAGGAGTAGCTGCGGAAAGAAAAGTCACTGAATCGATAGCTATTCCACCAGGCATGGAGAAATGCGTATTACTGTTTGGTATTATTGTAATTTCTTTGGCTTTTTAACAATTATGCTCCAGATTCAGCACTTCTGTGTTAAAACTTGCTAAGACACATTGCCTTGGCCTCTCAAATGCCAGCTCTCCATCTGAATGGATTCCACATCTGGGCCAAGTGCTTCCGATCTTTTAACATCCAGAAAATCAAGCAAGGAGCAGCTTGTGTTTCCCATCCATCCATGTTCTTACCGCTGTTTCCAGTACAGGATCGCAGGGGAGACACAGCCTATTCCAGTAGCAAAGAGCACAAGGCAGGGTACACCTCGAATGGGACACCAGTCCATCGCAGAGCACACACAGACACTAGGGTCAATTTTCCCGGAATCCAGTTAACCAACCAGTGTGTCTTTGGACTGTGGGAGGAAACCAGAGCAACACACGCAAGACTATGCAAACACAGGGAGAACATGCAAACTCCACACAGATAGCACCCCAGGAATTGAACCCAGGGCTCCTGTGCTGTGTGTTTTTGTCCTTTGCTGTGTGTCGGCGGAGGTATTTCTCTCACTGAAACAGCCACATCAAAGCTGGCTGGAGGAAGTCATACAGTGGTGCTAGAAGAACGTTTGTGACCCCTTAAGAATATTCTGAATTTCTGCATTCATGTGACCTAAAATGTGATCAGATCTTCATCTACTGTAAGTCATAAAAATAGATAAAGAGAACCCAATAAAACAAATCACACAAAAGGATATACTTTTTTCATTCATTTATTGACCAAAATGATCCAACACCTTTAAACACTATACGGTTTTACGTCTGCCGCTCGAGTAAATGATGCAAAACAGCCCAGATGTTTTTTTAGAAAATTAAGTAAAACCGCTTCCTGTTCAGGTCTTATCTGTTTTATTATACTTTGGTTTTAAATTTGCTCATATTTTGGCATTAATGCATAGATCTGAACACATGCTCTCCCCATTCAAACAAACTGAACTCTGCAAAGTAAACAGTGTTGGCAAATATTGTTACCGGACAGAGCAGTGCAAAAAGTAGACAGAATAATACATATTTATATCTCTTTACAGGCTGAAGGTTGAGAAAAGAAGATGAATTAGGACGAAGGGAGAACTTTTTAGAGAGGCCAGGCTGTGGAATTTAGGCTGTACACTCCTACCGCTCACAAACAGCGAAGCACAGAGCACCGTGCGAACATCATAAGTCTGAATCTTGTCCCCTGAGGAACTGTTCAAGAGCAATTGAAGGGCTAATGCTGCCACCTAGTGGCTCTTTCTGGTACTGAGTCTACGCTTGATTCTTGCTACAGTACGTTTGGCAATAAACCCGGCAATTGAATTTCTTTCCAAAACGTCATTTTAGCAGCCCGTTACACACAGTTCTAAGGCCAATAACGATCCAAAAGAGCGAGAAATCTTGAAAAACATACACAGGATTGATTTATCTTCCACACATTCAGTACACCTTTGTGCTGAAGCACTGCAGTGTAGCTATAGCCAGCAGCTAATTCACCCTGCAACTCACAGCTGGTATCCCACTGAAGCTCAGCAGGTGTGAGCCTGATCAGTACCTGGATGGGAGACCTCCTGGGGAAGCTAAGGTTGTTAGTGGGGGCCAGTAGGGGGTGCTCATCCTGCAGTCTGTGTGGGTCCTAATACCCTAGTACTGTATAGTGACAAAGTGCTGTCCTTCAAATAAGATGTAATAAGATGTGACTCTCTGTGATTAAAATTCCCAGGGTATTTCTTGAAAAGAGTAGGGGGTGTTACCTTGGCACCCTGGCCAAATTCTCCCTGGGCTTTTGAGCCTAATAATCTCCATCTATGAACTGGCTTCATTACTCTGCTCTCCTCCCCACTGAGAGCTGGTGTGTGGTGAGTGTACTGGCGCACTATGGCTGCCGTCGCATCATCCAGGTGGGGCTGCACACTGGTGGTGGTGGAGGGGAGTCCCCATTACCTGTAAAGCGCTTTGAGTGGAGTGTCCAGAAAAGGGCCATATAAACGATAATTTTGTCAGTTCACAAAAACAATATCAGAAACATCTTATGTTTATGTTATATTTAATATATTATATATACAGTTCAAGAAATTCTATAAAATAATGAAACAGGTATAAAAAGAAGCTTCCCAGCAATCTCAAAGCAGCACTGAAATAACTTGAGTGTTAAGAAATACGATATATGAGACATATATTGCCATTTACTACTGGATAGCCTTTCCTGACCAATTGAAATGTCACAGAGAAACAGGCCCCACCGAGGTGACAGAGAGGAGGGATAATTAGGGAGCCTGATGTCTCCTCACTCTGCAGGAAAAGGGCAGAGGTCACAGGCTCCTGTCTCCTCCAATCAGCTGGGCCGTCTCTGTCTGAAACACTGGGCCATCCTATCAGGCGCACTGTCGACCTCAGCCACCCTGTGCCCACTTCCTGTCTGCTCGTCTGTCTGCTGTTTAAGCCTGCTGGGATTGAGTGTGTTCCTGTATCAGCCTGTCTCCATACCGGGATATGTAATATATACATCAGATTAATACTGTACTTTAATAAGATTAAACATTTTGAATGTCATCTATCCATCTATGTTCTAAATACACACACACACACACACACACACACACACACACACACACACACCAGGGCCAGTGTTCCCAGAAGCCAATTAATCCACCAGTATGTACAGTATCTGGACTGTGGGAGGAGGCCAGAGCACCAGTAGGAAACCCATGCAAACAAGGGAAGAATATACAGACTCAACACAGACAGCAACCTAGGAATTGAAGCCAGGGCCCCAGCACTGCAAGGCAGTGATGCTAACCAGTGTGCTGCCCATTTTGAACACAACTTCGAATTCAGGTCTTTAAATCTCACTCAGAATTACAGGCATGTGATTAAACAGAGCTATGTACTGGGTAGGACTACTCTAGAATGAACTGGATTATCCCTATGCGGTTTAAATAACGTCCAAGTGTCTTATCCTAGTCTGGGAGGAGGAGACTGTGGGGGCAGAATTGTTTTGAGCTGGAGACAAGGGGCCGTGGGTCAGGATATCACAGCTGCCCTTGTCTATCTCGTCTGCCCCGAGATGGCCAGTGTCCAGCCCCACACCCTGCGCTCCCTGGCCCTCCCACTCTCTCCCACCATTCCAGAGACGCAGAACTTTTTACACAAACATTCTCTCTGCGTCGACAGAGGCTCCTGTTTCACTGCCCAAAAATATCTCTCTTCATTCCTGGAATTCAGAGCATCGAAATAAAAAACACAATAGCAGTGACTGAGGCTCAGTACATTATTAAGTACATTACATTAAGTACAAGAGTAAACCTGTCCTCAGATTGAATACTGGGCTTTCTGTGTGCTGGCTATGATATGCAGATTTACAGACCATCTAGATAAATTATGTACCTACAGACAGATATTTAATCAAATTGCATATACCTGGAATAAAACTGTTTGTCCTGTGGTGGACTGGACATCCTGTGCAGGCTGTATCCTGTGTCCTGAGTCTGCTGGCTCACTGTGACCTTGTACTGGACTCAGCGGTTATTGAAAATAAAACAGGAAGAGAACTGTATATGGAAAATGTGTGTACGCTGTCTCTGGAATTTCCAGAGTGACCCAGTTGACAGTCTTTGAAAGCAGAGCTTGTAAACTATTCATCTTGTGACTAAAAATGGTGCAGATGCAAATCAGATGGCTTTTAAATGTGTTCTTACAAACCGTAAGTAATATCTTCAGTGGGTCTCCACGGGCGCAGTGAGGATCGCTGTGCAGGGCAGGTCTACTTCTTCAGAGCTCTGGAACCCGGGTTCGATTCCAACTTGTGAGAGGGGATTTTTGTTGTGTGCTCTGTTTGGCTCCCACTTCCATACAGACATGCAGATTTGATTGGTCACTCTTCACCACTTTGATGGTGAGAGTGTAGTACTGGGGGCTTCCAGTGCTGGTCTCAGTAGAGAAACTGGGCCAGATCATCTCAATTGTCCGAATGGCCTGCTGTTATCTGTGGCCTCTCTGATGTTCTGTGCAGTAACTTAAGACTTCCACTGCCTGAGGTCACTGCCCTGGACATCCTTTCAATTCAAAACAGCTTGAATAAAAACACTTAAATAAATACAAATTGCAGTTTATTGCACAGTACAGCCCTAACACACTTAATGGACTGAAGACACTGATATACATAGCAGTTTAACATTCACTAGACTATGATATTAATTTACAGCCCCCAACTCAGTCAGCATACGAAGGCACTTCGAACAGTCACACACACATTAAGTCCGATGTTAGAGCAGCTGCACTAACAACAGGCAAGGCACATATACAAATACAAAACATTATGACTCCAAAAGAATTCTAAAATCATCTTTTCACCTATAGGTGGGCTTCTTTGGTAACCCACTGCTGAGGGAGTCTGGGGACAGGCAGGAAGATAGTTATTGAAATTAATTATTGAAATTCACGAGAAGATGCTCCCTCATACTGGGGCAATTCAAGATTGGAGTTAAAAAACCATCTTGACATGTTTCTGTCTAAAGATGGGTTTCTGTTAAATCTGACAATCTGGGCAAACTGACTTGTAATGACACAAGTGGAAATTACATGGAAGTGCATTTAATACCAAGGATAGGATACAATTCTTTGCCCAAAGGGTTGTGGGAGTATGGAACAAGCTGCCCAATCACATTTTAAATGATATTCACCTGCCACTTTATCCAGATGGAGATGCAGCGGTGCAAATAGACATTTATTGTTTATGACACCAGAAGACACCACTTGTGCACAGTTGTTGGCAGTTCGAGTTGTGCACAAGGTAAATATTCCCCAGACTTGCTGGTGCACACAAAGCACTCGGATCACTACTGCTGGGCAATTCAGAAGCGGATATTTGCTGTCTGCTGCAACAGAAACATCACCAGAGCAAAGTGTCGTGCCAAACCGGAAAATAAAAAGCCTTCTCAAAAGTGAAAACGCTCCGCACAGCATACAATTTTAAACACACAGACTTGTCCATTAAAAATGATCTCAATGTATTGGAACCTATAGTGAGTGTGTAGAGGATGGGATCAAGCAGAGCAGAATTTAAACTAAACACGACACAGGGTTATTACTAATTAATGACTAATTTATTGAGCTGATGTTTTCATCCAAACAGACTTATATTTGCAACCATTAGTACAGGTGGATATTAGAGAAATGCTGGTGAAAACCCTTGCACAAGGAAACAACAGCACACTCTCATATAGGATCTGTACCCATAACCTTCAACTAGTCCCGAACCCTGACCACTGCTCTGCACTGCTACGACTACAGACTACTGTTAGCCCCAAATCAGAAGAGTCTGGCTTTTGGGCTCAGAGAGACTCAACACACTTACACATTCTCCAGCACGAACACACAAGCAGACCTCAGCCTGGCAGAACACCCAGTACTTGACGAGAGAAAGGCACTTATACAGCTGCACTGCACAAAAATTGGGTTTGGAGGATTTTCAGTGTTCAGCTGCAGCCACCTGGCCTCTGAACGCGAGTGGGATTAAGTTCTGATAAAGACTGCAGTAAAAAAAAAAATGTGTTCTTGCAATGAGGGTGGAGTTATAATATGAAGAAAGGGGAGCCTAAATAAAGAGCTGTGTGTCCGCTACCATGTCTGTCCGGTCTGACTGGCTCCAGGTGGAGAAGGTCCGAGGAACACAAAGTCTAAGAACAGTGTAATAGGACAGCGATAAAACTACAAATCCATTCATAAAAATATGGAACTCAAAGTCACCTGTCCATTTTTTGTTGGCAATTTTTCAACATATCATGTTGGATGAGATTGACTGGGCTGGACAGGCGGGAGGGAAGGAGTGGAGCCGGGTGCATGGTTCTGATCCAGTTCAGCTCAGATCTCCTGCAGCAGGTCGGCGGGGAAGAATCCCAGCTTCCTCCCCGTGCTCACCTTCAGGTAGCCATTGACCTCCTCTCCCTTCTGCACGACGATCTGTGCACCGGGGGAACCACAGGGGTGTGAGCGGGGGCTCGCTACGGTGGCACATTACAGGAGGCCTGCAAGTCCAATTCAAGCCTCTCCCGGGCACATGCAAAGCACTTGTAAGGCAAAATCACAATCTCTCAAGAATACTGGCATTGCCCAGTGTTACCCAGCAAAACTCCATGGCCCTGGTTATAAATACCAGCTACTGTACCTGCATGCCCAGCTGGTAAAAGGTCCTGCATCATGCACAAGGTCAGGCTACCACGTCCAGAGCAACTTGTGGTCGCTGCCACGTTTTCCTCTAGTGTTAATAAGTAAACATACTCAAGCATGTGCACTCATACATTTGCACAGCACAGTTGGACAGGTATGCAATTCCAGCCCCTGTCTAGACATGCACACAGGATTCAGTGTAAGAAATCAGATGGAAATACTGTTTGGGGTTCAAATCAATGGCATGAAGACGTGCACATCTGAATGAAGGCACTCATTTCGGATCCAGGTTGAGCTCTGTGGCCCAGCGTCAAGCTAGACAACTGGGATCCCCCAAGCAGTAGTGCCCCACTGGTGGAGCGCAGGAGTAGGGTTGCTCTTACTCAGCCTGGGCTCTCCTGCCGAGAGAGCGACTCGTGTGACTTCACCAGGCTCCAGTGAGGTCAGGGCGAGCTGCTCCTCCAATCAGAGCTCAGACCCCCGCCGGGTCACATGACCCGGCTCTGAAAGTGGGCGTGTCTGAGGGGCCAGTCCTCATCTCACTAAGGAGACACACTGGAAGTCATCACCCGAAACCTGAGTCTTAAAACCACTGGCAGTTCCAAGCTGGGTATTGACGCAATAAAAAAAAACTATTTTTCTCTGAAAAAGGATTTTTTTCTTTTGTGCATGCCACTTTTCCCACACCTGCCCACTTGTATACATGCACCCTGACACTCGGCCTCGACAGCTGCGCTCTGGCACACATGCTGCAATGCAATATCCCTTCCAAGACACATCAAGCTGATGTACCTGGTCTTTCTTCAGTGTGATCTGGCCCATCTCCCTGTTTCCTACGAAAGACCGGGTGACCTTGTAGACCCGTTCCCCGGCACGCACACGGATGATGTAGTTTGCCGGCAGGTAACCGGTCTTCTCACCGATCTTACCCTGCAGAGAGGAGGGACCGAAAGAAATCACCTCCCTGTTCCCATCAGATCCGAGCTCCAGCACATTGAAATGAACTCCTGCCCGTGGTATACACGTTTACCTAAAGCATCACTGGGGATGTACTGCACAAAACCACTGGATGCAAGTGCTTGCGGGGTATAGTGCAGTACTCCTGAAGCACAACATAGCCAAGTGGGATTTCTCTATGGCAAAGGAGTGCTGCAAAGGACTGTGCAGGGGCTGAGGAGGAAAAACCTGTCTCTTTGAGCTCCTGCGGAGGACTGGACAACGGCAACAGCAGTTTCAGAGCCAGGACAGGGAAAAGAGACATGGACTACAGCAAGTGGTAAAAGCTAATTCCTCAAATTCCAAAATAAAGGCCACAACAACCACTTGCACAGTTAAATGATTGAAAACAGACGATCATCCTTTTAAAAATGTTTGTAACAGAATTTATCTTACAGTGTTTGCTTATTGTAAGACTGATATACATTGTGGAATAAAGTTTATTTTGTTGAAAAAAAAAATAAACACTACCAATTGTTTTATCCTCCAGTGGATCCGAGAACATGATAGTTGTTGCTATGCTTACTGTGACACCTTTAGGTATGTGTCCGTGTCTGAGTCTGCTCTGTTTTGTGCTTGGTGTTCTGCCACATGAGAATTACCTCTGCTCAAGCACTGAAGGCTCCAGCAGCCTGAGAACTGACCTCTTCAGATTCTGGGACAGTGATGATAAAGAGCTGTCAGAGCAGAGCCCACAGTCTGCAGCTGCAGCACAGCTATAATGCTGCACCAGAGCCCAGAATTCCTGTCAATCTCCAACACAGCCCAGCCAGATTGTCACTACTGTGAATGACAACTTATCGGCCTACATAATGGCACAGGAGTTGAAACCCATAAAGGCAGGACTTACCCTCCACCACTCCTCGTTGGAGTCATCAATCACAGTGATCCTGTCTCCAGGGCTGGAACATGAGATGCAGTTCATTAAAGACCAGCCCCACAGAGGAGTTTTTGCATTTGTTTATTCATGTGTGTGATCCCAGATGTCGTTAACCCCACTTGCCACAACATTCAGATATTATTTAACATAAGCGGCTGCTTATCCAGTGCTTAGGGACTGCATGCAGGTCCTTACCAAAACCCTTGTCCTGGAGAGCAACACTGTTTTTCAACTAAGCAACTTGCAACTTAACAGTGAAAGTAGAAAACACAATGTTTTAGCTGTTAAGCCTTCAGGTGTGAGGTGTGTTGCTCACACCTGAAGAAGGCTTCACAGCTGAAACGTTGTGTTTTCTTTCTTCTCTTTTCAGCATGGAATAAACCTATTACTTGTTCCTTTGCAGCCTACGCATGCTGACGCAGCTACCCACCTGAACTACTTCAACTTGCAACTTAGATCTTAATTGTTTAATTGAATCAGTTATGGGATCAATTACATCAAGATGAATGTTATCTTTAGCCACTGATTGAAGATACTCATAAAACTAGGATTGCCATAATTCATATTTGATTTTTGTTTTTAGACACCTTAACATTCCATCCAAATGCATCTTTAACTGTACATCTATAATTATACATCTGCCTTTTCTTAACACTATAACCCTGGAATGTGCATAACAGTCATGCATAAGCCTTCCTCACTGGTCTGAGTTTGCTATGCCATGCTGCTGAGGCCTAACAAGGAAGGAATAGCCATCCATGGCTGCTAATTTTGACTTCAGACATCTAAAGAAGAACGACAAGAAAAGAAAACTGAGAGATATTGCTTATTCACATTCTCATAAAGCATAGCAACTGTTTGCTCTTAAAACACACCGTGGTCAAGAAAGGTCATTTCTATAGACATGCTGGATGGATGGACAGATGTTCTGTCAGAGGTAAAAATGTTAAATACTGTGAATTAAGTGAACATTCACGACAACTAAGGACAATCAAGAAAACTAAGACCTTTTCTTGAATAAGATTCCTGATGCAAATGATCTTGAGACCTATCCTGCATCCACAGACCAAGAGAACTCACTAGAAGTCTAAGTCGTCTTTCTCCAGGGCCTTGAAGCGATAGACAGCCAGATAGTAGTGGGACTGTGTGAATCCAGTCCGCATCCCAGGCTGGGACTTCTTGTTCTGGGACAGACAAGCACACCAAAGCAGAAAGGGAGGTCAAGGGATCGTGCACCAGTACAAAACCAGCTCGGAGTTTTCTGAAGGTGATGGCAGAAGAGGAGGAAAATCAAGGGAAAGACTGAACCTTGTTGACCTTGATAAGCGCTGCCTTGCAAACACAAGCATATAAGTGGCTGACCCCGCGCTCTGACCCCACGTTTCTCCCCCTGTCTTTGTGTCTCATGGAGAGCAAGCTGGGGTATGTGAAAAGACAAATTCCTCATACAAGAAATTGTGTATGGCCAATAAAGTGATCTGATCTGATCTTATCAAGCTTCCGAAAAAGAAAAAGAGGCTTGGTGGAGAAGGGTTCAGACGTCCAAAAGTTAAATTTGAAAATCACCCCTGAAATCCTTTTCATTCTTTCAACTCAGCTCTTCTTTTTCCCTGTTTCTTTTTTTATCTGTCTGTTCTGTATGCACGCAAAAGGCACCTCCCACAATGTGAATGAACTAGACAGGTTCACTGTAACTACAGTTCTACACATTTATAAACCAGCCCGTCCCAGAGCACTGTAGAGTATATACAGAGTTCAACTGTTTCACTGATGACTAGGTAGGAAGTCAAAGGCATCAGCTTCTTAGTTATGTAGTAGACTCGTACCCGTCAACTGCTCTGTGAGGAACATGACCTTTACAACAGCAGCACTTGGGACCACCACGGACTGATGTCTAAAATATGGGGGAAAATATAGGGAAAAATGTCTAAAATATGGGAGAGCTCTGATAAATCAGAGACATAATTAGAGAGACAGGATGTAAGGTCTCTCTGATGGTCGCTCTGATGCTGATTGACTGACCTTTATATAAACCTCCTCCTGTCTGAGGACTCTGGATCACACAGGACCCTGAGGTGGAGTAAGAACAGATACCTTGTCATCAGCTGCCGCTTTGTCCCCCTTCTTATCTCCCTCTGGGTTTTCTGGAAAGAAAGGAATTTGACACATCTGATCTCACTGAACTGCAAGCTTTTCAATTCATTCTTTATATGCACAGACATATGTAATATGTATTACATTCTCCTACCAACCTAATGAGGTAGATGACATGAAAGGAGGGTCAGTGCTGATTGGAGGAGAAGCGCGTCCCTCACAGGCAGCACAGCCCTGTAGCGGAAAGTCAGTGCTGATTGGAGGAGAGGCGTGTCCCTCAAAAGTAGCACCTCCCCACACTGAAAGATCAGTGCTGATTGGAGGAGAAGCGCGTCCCTCACATTCATTCATGTCACGCTAGTCAGTACTCTGTAGGGATCCTAATAACCTGGCCAGTGAGTATAGAGTTTAATACAGATATATAAAAATAAAGTATGTAGAGAGCTCAGAGTTGCTGGACAGCACTCACCGCCTTCAGCTTTCCCCTCTTCCGGTTTGGGAGCCTGTGACTCCTCTTCCTCCATCATCATCATCATAACCTACACAAGGGTGACAGTGGGAGATTCACGGCACTGACATGGGATTTACTGTAAATTGTCATCTGCTCATACTTCATTTCCAATACGGGCTTCTGTTACTGGAAACAGTGTGAATCACACAGTGCCGTAAACCGAACCATTAAAACTTCTCCTGTAAAAAAGTCTTAGGAAATTTTTTCCAAAGCTGGAAAGCTTATCAGGCAGGGCAAATCTGCAGAGTTTCTAGCTTGTGTGCAGGAGCTTTTAGCTATGTGGAAGTGCACTTAAACAGAGAACATCTTTACTAGAAGAGTGGTGGGAGCATGGAATAAGCTACCTAGCCATGCTGTTGAGGGCGATAAGCCGTTTGTTGTGTTTTCTCTCATTAGGCCAGGGTAGGGAACCATAACTATTACAGTCCACACTGCAGTGGGTCTACAGAAGCAGAATGTGACAGAAGATGAAACAATTAATTGCTTAATTGATCCTGATACTTTAGATCAAATAAAACATTCAGGAGTCGCTGAAGTGAAGACCGCCAGCAGTATGGAAAGGAAAAGCAGCTGAAAGCTCACAGTGGCAAATATGCACAGTACTGTCCCAGGTGTCCTGAGGTTTCACTAACCTCACAGGATTTCTACCCCAGCAAATAGCATTTAGGTCATTTAGGTCATAAGGCTACACTCACGTTCTTCTTGTCATCAGAGCCCTTCTTTCTCTCCTTGTTGGCCATGATCACTCCCTCACGCAGGGTCTCGAAAACGGGATCCGTGCGGTTCGACTGGGCTGGGGGGTGGGGGATGAGGGGGGGGACATAGACAGCTCCAGTCAATGATTGCTGCTGCAGCGTGCCAGGCATGCCATTCTGCTGCAATTAATTATCCCCTTAATTAATCAGATTGGCCAATGAGGTGCTGCAGAGTTTTGGCTTGCTGCTATCCCAGGATGCCATGCTCGACGGGGGGAGTACTGCCCTGCTGTCCTGAGGTACACTACTCACAGAATGGCAGCAGCTCCTTGACACAGGCATTCTGCTGGTTGCTGTAGAGAGGGGAACTGTACGCCCGCCGAAATCCTGGAGGCTGCAGGCAGACAGGTACAGAGATGTACAATCAGTATCACAGTGCTCTCAGCCTTTATCTACCTGCTGGCCTCACTTTGCTCACCCAGTTTTCCAAATCCAGCCCATAAGAAATTAGATCAAACAATCCAGAGCAGCCAAGGAAATGAAAGGCCTGGAGTTGGTTCATTATAGGCCTGAACTGAGCTGAGAGAAAAAGACTCACAATTTTCCCAAAGCACTTCTGGAACTCCACATAGGACTGGCAGTGATGGTGGATGTTGGTCTTGCAGTTCTTACACCTCAGGCCAAACTTGTTGTTGACTGCAGAGGAGAAATGGAAGAGGAGGGACATTGAGCTGCATCACAGGACAGTGGGAGTGCACTGGTGCTTACAGAGGGTGCATCAGGGTGGCCTAGAGTGGGATGTTTTGGGAAACAGTCTATATGGACATGGCTGAGGTGCTTGGCCATCCATGTACGCCCCTTATAATGATCACATGTGACCAGAAATGATCTTTATTCCACTGCCCGTTACCATGTGGCAATCCCTCAATAACGCCAAGTTGCAATGGCTTCTGGAGAGTTTTCTGCACCAGACAAGATGCAGGCTTGCAGTCATCAGGATGGTTCCATTCGTCACAAACTCTATATGTCACCACTGGGGAGAACCCCTTTCCCGGTCACATGATATAGGATTGGGCTGGTGACGTTTGTGGCCAGCGGGGCTCTAGTCTGTGCAATTCCTTTCTAAACTACTACTTGAGCCCCCACCCACCAACTCACGGACAATCATCCGAGCACAGACATCACAGAACTTGGGCTTCTTGCAGTAGTGATCCTTGAACTTGTGGGGCTTGTCATTGATGGGCTTGACCGGCTCTGGGGGGGGCTCGTCTTTCTGGTCATCGTCCTCTTCCTCCTCTTCCTCGTAGATAAAGTACACCTGCGTGGGGGGGGTGGGGGAAGAGTGAGTGAGGGAGAGGAAGAGTTGAGGATGGGAGGGGAAGGAAGGGAAGCAGAGAGAGGAAAGGTGGAAGGAGAAGAAGAGGAGGGACAGAGAGGCCCAGTGCGGCCTGTAAGACAGAAAAGGCTCAGAGAAGAAGGGAAGAGGGACTGAGAAGGGCAGCATTTTGGGGCTTCAGCGATAAGGACTGCACCCGGGGAGAGAACAGGTCATGCAGAAGCAGGACAGAGGTGGCTGGAGCCTAGCGGAGACTGAGAAATAGTGGAGAGAGAGAGAAAGGAAGAGAGAAACAAAAAAAAAAACACAAAACCTGTTTTTTCAAAAAACAGGATGCACAGCATCAACAACCAGATCAAAATCACGACGGCTAAGAGCAGCACTTTGGAAGGAACAGTTATTACTGATGGGTTATTGCCTGGGTTCCAGGTAAGTCCTGTCCAGCAGTCAAGTTAGTCAATTAGGAAATTAAACGTTTAATCAGATGTCAGTCTGCTTATCCCAGGATTAAGGGGAAAACTGCACTGGAATAGGGCAGCAACATGGGAAAGGTAGTTTTAGATGGAAAGATGCATCACATGTGTTTCCAGATTAAAGAAGGGACAGAGAGAGGAAGGGGGCAGGGGGTTAGAGGGATAAGTATGGGTCACTTGGCAGAGGTGAGATCTCACAACCCAGCCTAGAGGGTAGAAGATGTCTTTCCCAGAGTTCAAGGAGGGCTCGGGGAAATTCAGACCCTCAAGCAGGTCTTCATGATCTATGAGGGCAGGAACAGCGCCAGAACAAAACTTTAAAAATTATGCTGGATCTTGAGGTCCAGACCGTGGGCTGCCTTGGTTTACGTGAAAGGCGCTTCATCAGTCTTCTTGATTAATGGAGTGACTGGAGACAGGTGGGTACGTGTGGCATGAATTCCCCAGGGCACTCCCCCCTCCCTCGCCGTGTCTCACCGGCCCCGTGTTGGCTAACTCCCCGTTGGGCTGTTCCCCCCCATCGGCCTCCTGACTCCTCTTCTTCCTCTGAAACAGCTTCTTCAGCTTCCACAGCTGCAAACAGCCAACACCGTCAGTCAGCCCCTCTGACCACACTGTCCACCTGCCTGCCAGTACACCGGCCCGCCGGGCTCCCAGCTCTGCCAGCAAGCTCAATCTCCTCTGTCAGAAGCTGAAACAGCTTTCAGAATAGGAGCCCTGTAATTTTATTCTTCCTAGAAACTCCTAAACCTCTTTCTGATTATTACATTTCTGTACTTAAGACATCCCAGCGCTCACTTGTATTCTATTAGTACTGTGCCCTAAGCATGTGAACGGCCTTTAAAAAACAATTGTTTGGCAGGAAACATGAATGCTGAATTAGTTAAAAACAAACATGTTTCTTGACCATTGGATGCCCCCAGGCTACAGTATTTACTCTTAAGACGGTGCCTTGTGCATTAACACCATAGCCACGTGCACACACCGAGCAAGGAGTTACAGTATGCAAACTTCCCTAGAGTGCTGGATTCCAGAGTATTCCTCCTAGACTGCGGGCATTCTATTTTAATTGCTCCTGCATTAATTAGTGGTGGGTTAAATCTGGCTTTCCGCACATCATTAGTCCTTTCATCTTGGCCTTTTCCATGCTACAATGACACAATCCCCACCCTCACTAAAAAGAACTGTGATGCCACATCAGTCCGTGGTGGTCTAACAAATTGCAGGAAACTGCTTAAACCTCATGTAACATTGTAAAAAAATAGATCATTGTGGGTTTTTTTTAGAAACAAAGCTGAAATTCTTTCAGAATTCTTACAATTCTTCAACTAAAAAGGAGGCAAAGCACAGTTTTGTCTGGTAATAATATCTATCCCAGGATGCCACTGCTGATTGAACTAATTTGCTCCTTGCAGGGCAGGTGGGGACCTGGCTGCAGGAATGCGATGGGACCTGTATGATGAATACAGATGACTGTGCTATCCCATGTAAAGCACCAGGTGTACATGCCAGAGACCTGAAGAAGGCACAAAGACTGCCTGCTATAGCACAGCAGAGTGAAGACAGCTAGTCCTGTGGCTTTCACAGTTTCCCCTTCAGAGCAACCCCTGTCACCTCACCCGTTGTGTGCAGAAGGGGACACTGCACTTAGGATCGGTGATTTATTCCGAGCTTAAGAAGTTACTTGTGACTTCAGTGTACTGAAAAACTGAAAACAGTGCTATTGAGGAGGGCCACTCTCAATGCAAAATACCAACAAAATGGTACGGAGTTCTGTAGCAAAAACAGATTCGCCACCCTCTCTCTCTTCCCTGAAGAAGTGTGTGCACAGGTAGTGCGCATATGAAATGTTGCAGCTCAATTTCAGTCCACGTCAGTACACTCCAACAGCTGAGGTACAGTATAATGTTCTAGATTGCAATGGTATTTATGTAGGTCCATAATAGAGAAAAAGCCTCTCATTACCACAATTTTTATCTTACTAGAGAAGTGATCATCACAGTGCATCACAGTGAATTAGCAGACAAATCCTGATAGTTTCCTCCAAAATATAAATCTTATATTTATATTTGACTATTTCAGCAGAATATTTGCCTTTTGGGATCTGTTACGACTCAGAAGCAGAAATGCATACCATGCCAAACAAACATACCAGGAGTGTTCTCTTTTAAAATCCCCCACACAGCTAAATTCTCTCAGGCCACTTCTTATTAACCACATTTAACTTGAAGCTGTGGGTCAAGGAACGTAAAAACTATTGACCGGTAGTTAAAGACGCATTTATCAACACCGAGTCAAAGAGGGCCATACGGAAAATCAGATTCTGGTGCCAAGCAAAGCTCATGTTCCGAACCACCGTTTTCCTCCGATTAGCACAAACAGTCTTGGGAATCACAACTGAGAAAGTTAAGGAATAAATGTAACTGTCCAACAGAATCCCATCCCTATTCTTGGTACGCGAACGCAGCACATTCAAGAGAGCAACTTTGTTCAGGAAGATTGTTGCAGCACTTTGTTTGGAACCTGGCTCTTTCTGAGTAACAGCGCTCTGCATTTGCAAACACATAACTCTAGTGCACACTTCTACAACAGTCCCTGCCCAGTTCAATCCCGCACTCTGGAAACCCCAACCTGCTTACCTGAGGAACTCTTTTCATCCCTGGATCCAAACCGACTTTTTTTTAAAAAGGACAAAGGAACGAGTAAAGGGAGAAAATGGACAAACAATCCGTCTGCCTGGCTCTGAGACAATGCCTGGCTGTTCTCTAGCTTCCACTGTCCCACCCCCCCTCACTACTCCCCCACCACGCTTCCTTTTCACATCACCTGTCCGGCGGCCCGTGTGTCTGTCAGCGTGTCTCCACCCAGATTCTCTCTCTCAGGCCATCGGTCTTCATACGGAATAATTCCGCCCCTCTCCCCTGAGCCCTCCACATTTCTGGCTCTGCTTCCGGCCCGAGAACGAGGAGCCTGCTGGGGATTTTGCGGCTCCTAAAATAACCTACAAAAGGGATCATGAAACTCCCAGCTCGCCCAATGGAAACAGTTTGACACTGTTCCTAAATATACCCCCACCGAGAAGCGTTGTGGCCTTAGGGAAGCTTCGACTGAAAAACCCCACACCACCAGTAGACCTCCAGTCAGCCTGCAGGTATAGAGCCAGCAACAAAATGCTCGTGCCTGTACAGACCTTACAGCACTGCACAGCATCCCAGATCTCCCATGCAGATCACTGCGGGAGGTGCACTTCCAGAGCAGGGCAGCTCACACCTGTTTTGGATGGGGAGTTAGAGATCCAGGTCTGCCTGAGGAATAATATGTTTTACAGAGGTGATGGGGCTTTAAAGCCTTAGTGTAATGTAGATAAATACATTCTTAATTATGTATTATGCTTAAGATATCCCAAAGGGGGAAGAGTGAATTGTTTTTTAAATGAATTTAGAAAAAAAACCAAGTTGATTCCAATAACCATCTCCTCCTACTTCTCCTCCCCTCCAGTCCCAACATACATGCACTCCCCTGTTTGGATTATGCAGTAACTGTTTCATGTTCGTGCTTCAGTTCAATTAGCTTTTTACAAGGACAGGCCTGCTTCTCTGACAATGCCCATGCACCTGATCCAGCCTTCATTTTGACACTCTATGAGCCCCATGGCTGCTGACAGGAGAGTCAGTGCTGATAGGAGCAGAGGCGTCGCCACTCACTGACATCACAGGAAGTTCCCAGGGACCTGGGAAGAGGCTGTTGCATGGAGAGCTGAGAGAGCTCTTGGTGACCCTGTGCTTGGTGCTGTTCCAGCAATTAACTGTGCACCATCCCTTTGGGGAGTCCTGGTCACAGTTGGCTAGGGACACAACCCGGGCTCTAGAGTCCAACCTGTGCTCAAGGACAGCTCACATTGCAAGTCACAGATTTTTTTACACAAAGGGTAGCAGAAGTCTGGAACAAGCTGTCCAGTCATGTTGAACTGGGGCTTCAAGAGAGAGCTGGATGAGATCCTCTGATTTATTAACTATTAACTACTGATTAGGCTAGATGGGCTGAATGGCTTCTTCTCATTTGTAACCTTTCTTATCCCAGTTGTTGACGAGAAGAGTGTCTGACATCACTGATCTTTAGAGAAACTCCTTGATGAGGTCCAGAGATTACCCAACAATTAGTGATCAGTACCTGAAGGGCGGAGTAACTTTCACCTCCCTTCTTCTGCAAACAGCAGGTTGTCTGAGATGGGCATGCATTAGGGTCAGACACGATTGGGCCTTTGTGATGACTAATTGCCCACAATATCAAACAGCCACTGCAGCTGTTCGCATGCAAGACTGCATTCCCAGCAGCACGAGGTCCCAATCCAGGAATGTGGAGCGAACAGTGGAGTGAATAAACATCTGACAAACCCAAAACAATCACAGACCCAACGACCCACAGAAAACAAATCTCTGTTTTTTGCTTTCCTACGTGGCCAAGAGAGGCCATTTTAAAGAAGGCATAAAGTCAACAGTCCTGATCGCAGCTCGTCTGTGCACTGCTGAGGCTGTGTCAAAGTCCAAAGTCAAATCCTTCATCACACGCAGTATGTTCCTCTGCAAGAAAAGACATCTACTGAACTCACTACACTGAGATGCTAACTGAGAAACAGTGTGACTCATTACTCAAGTCCTTTAAATTGTTTGTGGAGAGCTTACCAGGAAGCTTGATTTTGGCCCAAATTTTGGATGCTAGAAGGTGTTGAAAAGTCAAAGTTCCTTCAGGACACATTGTGAAGCAAGACGCTGGAGGCAGAAGTGTAGACTAAGAAGGAGTGCATTAAGAGCTGAAAACAGGAGACCTGTTTACACAAAGAGTTGTGGGGGTCTGGAATGAGCTGCCCGGTCATGTTGTTGAAACTGCACCCCTGGGGATTCAACAACACTCAGTCAGACGAGACAGTCGGATCACTAAGCCACGATCCACAGGCGGACCGTCTGCAAGCTGGAGTTATTGTGTAGATCCCTCGTTGCGTTATCGTCAGTGTAACAAGTTGGGGGCTGGGAGGGTGTTGGGAGGATGAAAGGGGGTGGGGGAAGTTTAGACCTGCCATGATCCACTCACCGCGTTGTCCTCTCCGGGAGATGGGGGGATGTCATGGGGGTCCAGGGACACTTTATCGCTTATTCTGAAACACAGACACAGGGTTTCTGAGGAAAAGGAAGCCAGTTCACTGATGGGAGGTAGCTTACTGTACCACACACTGGTACACTGGTTGGCATTGCTGCCTCGCAGCTCTATGGCTCTGGGATCAATTCTGCACCTGGGGTGCTGTCTGTGTGGAGTTTGCATACTCTGTGTTCGCATGGGTTCCCTCCCACACTCCAAAGCCATGCTGGTAAGTTAATTGGCTTCTGGGAGTGTTGGCCCTGGCGTGAGCGAGTGTGTGTCTACGTCTGTGTTTGTGTCTACAGTATCTGCACCGTAATGTACTGGCGTTTCATCCAAGATGTGTCCTGCTTTAGCCCACTGCTTACCAGGACAGGCTCCGGCTCCCCTGTAACCCTGAACTGGAATACGTGGTAAGAAAATGGATGGGTGTAGATAAGTGTGTGGTTGTGTTCACACAGAGCATGGAAGATTGCGCTTGCTGGCCAAGGCTGCAGGTTCTCAGACATCATACTTGGCTTCAGGAGAATCAGCTTTTTCCAAACTATACTGAGCAGAGAAGAACGAAATTGCACTTACTTTTTGTCTGAGAGTGATTCAACTGATTGTAGAGGTCAGGATTATGCAAGCATTCAAAGGTAATATAATAATAAAGGGTATAATTATATATTACTATGTAAGGGCCACTTTTGACATTGGTTTTACTCTATTGGGTCAGAATAGAGCTGTGCAGGAATGCAGGGACCTGCATGAGGAAAAATGCAGCCTGTAATTCCAGTGACGATCTGGTGTAAGAGATAATAGTATTCACCGCAAATCGACGAGACAGCAGGGAAACTGCTGTTCCTAAAGAAGACCGTGGTGACAGCATGGGCTGACAGCATTCCAAGGCCTTTTTCAAGGATAACTGAACTGTCTCAGTTCACATCCTTCACGGAGCTTCTTCCTGCATTCAGATTCTCAAGGGCTGTACAATTCTAGTCCAGGATTGCACTGTAGGTTTTAATTCCTAACTACCTAGTTAATCTAATGGGCCGAGCTGTGGCGCTGTGGCTAAGGCTCTGCGCCTGTGGCTGGAAGGTTGCCGGTTCAAATCCCGCAGCCGGCAGAGGAATCCTACTCCTCTGAGCAAGGCCCTTCACCCCAACTGCTCCAGGGGTGCTGTACACTAGCTGACCCTGTGCTCTGACCCCCAGCTTCTCTCTCCCTGTCTGTGTCTCATGGAGAGCAAGCTGGGGTCTGCGAAAAGATTAATTCCTAATGCAAGAAATTGTAGAGGGCTAATAAAGTGATGTTATGTTAATGATTGGCTGAATTGGACCATCTTCTCCCAGTTTTCACGTGTCCTTGCAATGTTGCTAAACCTCAGGCAGGGTGGGGTTTTGACAGTGCAGCAAGATCACCCTCTGCTAGAGGCTCTAGGCACTGTGCTCATCAGATCAGTCACATTGCCCAACGAGCAAACTGGGCGGGAAGACGGAGGAATCGGGACTCACTGGTCGTACTGCGCCATCACTGCTGGGGGAAGTCTCCCTCGCTCTCAAGCACGGGGCCACTCCTGAGGTAGCAGGACACCCTGCCAGGAGAGGGGAGAGACACACAGAAACGCTCTATATTACACCATTGCACTGCCATTAGCACTGATGCAGGTAATACGTTGACCACTAGTATAATTTGAACACTTGTTACAGGTGCTTTTGCATCTTTTAGCATAACATGAGGAACAAATCCATTACAGACAGCGAGAGTAGTAGCCGCGGCAGTAGAAGCAGAGATGGCGGCAGTCACGACAGCAGTGCAGGGACCAGTAGATCACTAGCTGTAGGTGAAGGTGTGGCAGGAGAAACAGCAGCTGCAGAAGGGTAACTACCCGCTGTGGCAGCTGCAATATCAAGTACATAGCTTCAGTAGTGTTGTTGGCACTAGTAGCAGAAGTGCAGGTGTCCTGGTCCTGATCCTGGGAACCCAAACATCTGCTGTGTTATATTCCACCTGAGCGCTCAGTTAAGTAATTGAACCCTTAACACACCTGATGATAACAGGTGTGGTCTGAACTCGTCGTTTGCAGTTCCTAAACATGGAGGAGGTTGTCTGTTAGCCATTGCATTTAAGTAACACGAGGACTCCAGCCTTTCAGCAGACAAGCATAGCTTGGCGGGGTCCTGGCCCAGCGACTTGTTGGTTCAGTTAAGGGCTCATTTGAGTAAAGAGCTCAGCTGCAACAAACGCCAGCAGATCCCCAGGGTCAGGATTGGGAAGCCCTGTCATGGAATAAAGATAGCCCCGATAGTAGCACACGGTGAAACTGGGAACTGGGATAACGAAGCCTTGGGCAAGCTGAAAACAATTCCTCATGCGGAGCGCTCCTCCTGTGTTACTGGCCGCCGGCGCGAAGGGAAGGCGGGTGTCGTTCAGGTCGACCAGTCCGAGGACTGAGCAGCACTCCTCCAGGTCGGCCCAGCCTTGCCAGCCCAAGGAGAACAACGGGAATAAACAGTTTCCAAACACTTCTTTCTCCCGATTGTACACCAATGAGCTCTGCCCCGCTCTCTCTCTCTGTGTGTGACTCGCGCTCAGACTGCTCTGCTCTATTCCTGGTTAGGGGGTAACCTGATCTCCACATGACTAAAACTGGAGCGGCGTGGACCCAGGACCCCAGATTGAATTACAACAGTAACGCTCTAGAACACTCACTGGGGTGTCCGACTGGAGCTTAATCTCAGAGCATTAAAGATTGGACCAGAGCTACACACGGAGCATTTTAATCAAGCACCTCTCCTCGTTAACCCCAGTCAGCATTTCTGTTTCGCCTGTGCGATCGGAGAGACTCAACAGGAACGATTCCTACAAGAAGAGGAGCCGTAGGGGGTGTCCAGCTCTGAAGCCAAAGCAAAATACACGAGCCCCACCCGGGGGAAAAAAACACAATCCTCTCACCTCCTTGGGATTTCTCTTCCCCTCTGCGGCTCTAGTCTCTTCAGAAAGGAATCGCCAATTGGAAATTCCTGCGCGGTTTCCAAAGGGGCTCGAACTTGCCAGTGATATTAACACCAGCAGCGCAGTCCGGCACAATTTTGTCCCTGGGTTTTGCTGTGGTTGACTCTCCAAATGGCCCTTCCAACAGGAGGGGTGTTTTTGAAGCCAGAGGACCAGAGTGTTGTGGAGAGGGGGGTGCGCGCGTGTGCAGAGGAGTCAGGAACAGCTGACACGGATTGAGCAACGAGGAGCTGACACCAGGAAATCAGACACCTCTGACGGGACAGGCTAGGGGTCTGTCAGAGGGAGACAATCCCCACCTTTATCATGTCGTTACTGTGAAAGAACTAACAATTTGCCAACAGGTTGTCAAGGATTATTTCAGACTCTCTAGACAGACCACATTTACTGTATTCATTGCTTATTAACCATGAAACAAAGAAACACCGACAGGGAGACCAATGCAAGAACAAACACAACGTGTTCTAAAAAGCGTACTTAGCACAGGTTAAGTCAAGCCTCCTAACCAAAATCTTGATCACTGATGGCCAGGTTCAGGTTTATATGGAATCAACACTTTTACCTCCTACTCTAAATTTCAATCAAGTTGGGTCAAAGCTACTGTACTTTATTAATCTGGTCCAAAACCACCATTCTTTCAGCAATAAAGGAAATGTACAGCCGATCAGCCACCTGACCTAAAACACTCCAGTGTGTGATGGGACAGATGAATACAGACGACATCTCATTATAATACATTTATCTAACCTTTTCTGGACACTCCACTCAAAGCGCTTTACAGGTAATGTGCAGCCCCCCCGGGTGATGAGACAGCAGCCATAGTGTGCCAGTACTCTCACCACACATCAGCTATCAGTGGGGAGGAGAACAGAGTAATGAAGCCAATTCATAGATGGGGATTATTAGGAGGTCACAATTGGTGATAAGCCGGGGAAAATCTGGCCAGGACAACACCCCTACTCTTTTTGAGAAATGCCCTGTGATTTTTAATAACCACAGAGTCAGGACCTCGGTTTTACATCTTATCCAATGGATGGTGCCTTTTTTACAGTATAGTGTCCCCATCACTAGACTGGGACATTAGGACCCACACAGTCTGCAGGATGAGCGTTCTCTACTGGCCCCACTAACACCTCTTCCAGCAGCAACCTTAGCTTTCCCAGGAGGTCTCCCCTCCAGGTACAGGCCAGGCTCACACCTGCTGAGCTTCAGTGGGTTGGATGTCTGTCGAACCCGCAGAAAAACGGGGCCCAAACCAAGTTCCAGATCTAACCAAAGCTATAGAATTCAAAAACACGCATGCCCTCCAATTACACTTACCTCAGCAGGACAATGTCTTATTGATGTTGCTAAAGCATGGCACCTTGATTCAGGTTTCTCACCTGCGCACCTGATCACTTGTGCAGGATGGCTGCTGGAGGGAGTGCACTTCAGTGTCTGGAAGTAGGTGCCTTCCCGCATATTGAAGGCTTCGAAGGCATTTGGGGAGGAAAGTGCTATACAAATTCAACGAATCATGGTCATACTAATCTTTGAGAGACAGGTGTGACTGGCACCCCTGGACAATGGCTTCCCCAGTCCGTTCCAGTGTCTTTACCACAGGATATCAATCTCAGGGCTGGTCTGACCTGTCAATACAATGTCTACTAGTTTCCACTCCCCATTACCGCCTGTTAACAGCGTAAGGCTCCACTTCCCAGGAGCTTTCAGGTCTTTGTTAGACCCCAGGCAGTGATCATGCAACCAAACTGATTATCCTTTGACCTGAACTATTTAAATACTTCTCTACAGATCTTTATAAACATACATATTAACATTCCCTACAAAGCATAAGTTTCTAAATCGGAGACTGGTCAATAACTGGATCAGTATGAATTGAAGGGGAGGGTGTGGGAGGAGCAGACGAGGTCTATAGCCTTTCTAAAGGAGCCGTTGCAGACAAACTGGCTGGGACCACACTGAAAGCATTTCCCCGATTCTGGCAGACTTGGTTTTTGCTTCTTCTTGGAAGAACTCTACGACACTACGGATTGCTATGGCTTCAGTCCAGATCAGCTCCTCTTGGGAACCCTCTTTCCCACTTGCCTGCTCCTTAAATATATTTGCTCATGTTGCAAAACCTACCCACTTCAATCCCCCTGCCCATCTCATAATTCAGTCTGGGGGGGAATTTCTCACTCGCGCTGGTGCAGGGCGGCCAGGTGGGTGCAGCACTGCAGAGGGAGATGATGTGGCTCCCCCCTGTGTGTGAAGCACACAGGACCATTTTGGGGGGGGGGGGGGGCAGAGATAAATGCAAGCAAGTATAAGCAATGTGGAAACTATTTGAAAAAAAAAACATCATTCTATTCTTGCTTACTCACGTTTAGGGGTTGTGGTCATCAGTTTCTACAAGTGTGTCTTTTTTAGGAATATGAGCTTGAAAAACAAACCGAGTGAGTTTTAGGTTGCGAACACTAAACAATACAGTTCAAGCACTGGGCAGTAACTGATCCATTACAATAAAAAGATCATTTTAAATGGAAACTTTGGGAGAAACTGGCACTTCTGCAAGTCTGCCTTTAACAAATGCTCTTCTGGATGTAGGCTTCCACTGAATTCCTCCAGAGCACTGTTCGAAAGAGAAACAGGAGGAGTGGGGAAAAAAGAGAGACCAAACAGGCAGGCAGGGTTTTTTTTTCACTTTTATATTTTTAAAAACAAAAATAACAGATTAAATAAAATTTACAGTAGACATATGCAATCAATTGTGCACTTTTTAAATACTTCTTCTGATACGTTCTGCACAGCTGTCAACGAAAAACGCAAACACAAGAAAGAGAAAAGATCAAGGAGGAGGAGCAGGAAGATGGAGGAAGAAGAGGCAAGGCAGGGGAAGGGGAAAGCGAGGGGCTGAGAATGAGCAGGGCGAGAGTGTGTGGTGAGGACGGGAGGGATAAACTCTTCCACTGAAATCACTGAATATATATATTTTTAAATCCTTAAATCACTTATATAAATATATTCAACCAAAAAAAACAGAAAACAAAAAAACGAAAACGAACGAAGAAACAGAATAAAGAAAAGATCAACAGCGCAGCACATGAAGCCACAGCAGTAGTAAGGCAAACAGAAGCCAACGGAGGCAGCCAAGAGAGAACGAGAGAGAGAGAGAGGTGTGCGCTACAGTGAGAGAGAGCGAGAGTGCGCCAGGAGAGGGGAGAAGTCGTGAGAGTATGAGTGAGAAGGGAAGGTGAGGGTGCAAGAGACCGGGAGTTTGAGTAGAGAAAACAGGACAAGGGGGAGGTAGCAGAGGAGCAGAAAATAAAAGATGGAGGACAAGTTTGGGGGGTGGGGTGGGGGATTGTGGGTAAAGTGAGGTCGACTGTCCAGTGTGTCCTCGTGTGCGCCGCGCGTCGGGTCATCGTACGTGCGTGTGGGTGGGTGGGCACGCGCACACGGTCAGTAAATGCTCCACACACATACGCGCATCAAACCGCACGCATGCTCGCGTGTCTTGTGTGCTCTTCTGACAAAAAAAAAAGACCCAAAAAACAAAGGTAAATAAAAAAAAATAGAAATTTGGAGTACGCCAATCTGGAACTTCTCCTCCCTTTTGTCGAGACGATTCGTTTTCCCCGCCGCGACCCTGCCCCGCTGCCCTACTGCGAGCTGGCCCGCTCCAGAATCCGCAGGTCATAGTTCTTTTTGGTGGCGCGCAGCTTGAAGCGGCTGGTGGAGTTATTGAGTTTGAAGGAAGCGCTCTGGGCGGCCATGGTGCTGGGGAACACGGCCACCACGGTGTAGAGGTGCGCCGGGTCGTTGTCGCCCTTGCCGCCCCCGCCGTCGCCCCTGCCCTGCGTGTCCTTCAGCCACTGGATCTTGGCGCCTGACATGGCCAGCTGGTTGAAGAGCTTCTCGGCCTCCGTGCGCGTGATGCCCTCGGGGAGGTCCGTCACCTCCAGCACGCGGCTGACCACTGCAGGGGGTGGCACAGAACACAGGCAGGCTGAAACCTCACCTCTCTGCCACCGCGGCCCACTAATCCTTCAGCCGCACGCGGCAAACAGCCCATTCGGACTGGACGGGGGAGCCTGCAGAAAGCCTCCTGTTGACATGCCCGTGATCCTAACCTTCTCCCCCAGGAAAAACTTTGCCCTCCTCCTCCCTCAGTCATACAAGCATGAAGGCGGCATTTTTTATTTTTTTACTGCCAATTCCCATAATTCCAGATGAGAAATTTGTTGTGATGTCCTTATTGAATCATGTCAAGCATTCCTGGATTCCTGGAAAGGCCAGAAACATTTCCATGATGCATGGGTGTCACTGACCAATCTTTCCCATACAGGCTTTACAAAGGAGTTTGCAAGACTGCTCAACGCCCTTATTACCTCAATACAATTTACCAATAATGCAGAGGAACAGCCCTTTTTACAAGGTCTGGTTTGTCTTAGAATGACACACTGGGTAATTTTGGTAAAAGTCGAGCGAGGAAGACAATAAGGATGCTGGGAAAGGAAGCAGGGACCTAATGGGAAACCACAGGTGAGGTTAACGAGGAACGGCACCTTTAAAAACCCAAGGGCACTGGGAGAAAGGTCAGAGCCTCACCTAAATCGTTGGTGCCCAGGTCTGTGGATGCTGATTTCAGGGTCTGTCGCTTCCCTCGCGTGCCGTGCTTCATTCCAGTTTGTCCCTTTAGCAGGAAAGACAGGCGTTGAGGAAAACCACAACATTCTTCGGGATTGAGCTAAGGGACCGTCCCTCCTGAAGGGGGCTCTGCAGTCTACTCTGCCTTTTCTGGTGTGTGTCGCAATACTGTACAGTCAGAATAATAACACAAGCTTCTCTTTTTCTTGCCTTCTTTAAGGTCAAAGACTTGGCAGATGCTCAGAGCACAGTGCACACGGGCACTCTAGAAATCCTATGGCAGAGAGCAGCCACACCAACAGACCAGGGATCTGTGTGGCACAGGGTGGCAAGTCTCACCTGGTGTGTGGGATACGAGGACTGGCTGTGGATCAGCTGAGGGGGGCATAGGCTGTACTGTAAGGGCTGACCAAGCAGCGAGTATCGACCATCACCTGGAGACAAAAAGAGAGAGATGACCATCATCCATTGCATGCTTAACAGCTTGTACACTCGGGCACACGCTGTACATTCTATGACGCTCCAATTGATGTGGTTGGATTTGGTCAGGCCAGTGCCTGATCCGTTATAAAGAATCAACTTCCGCCCTCTCACTCCAGGAATTTATGGAGAAGCAGAAAACTTCCTTTCAGGGCGTTTCTTTGGGAAGCAAATAGTCTTAAACAGAAGTCAACCTCATCCCTCAGCCACTGACTGAAGATCTAAAACGTGAAAGCTCTGGGGCTCTCCAGACCTGGAAGGCCATGCAGTACGCACGTGGAACCAAGCTATCCACCCTGTGCAGTGCTGTGCGTGTGCGTGCGTATGGCCATGCTGCTGTACCTTGTGCGGGCCCCAGGGGGCGGGAAAACTGTGTGATGAGGGGGAGGGGTCCGAGGCCAGGACACACACTGCTGACGCTGCCTGAGGGAGAGGGTGTGGGCGACTGCGTGGGCGAGGCCAGGGGACTGTTGATCTGCGTACTGGCCTGCCAAGGACAGAGAGGGAGAGACACGCATGGTGACCACGATCGAAACACTCAAACAATTAAAAAGAACATTTCAGGGTTCTCTGCACGGTCGACCACTGAGTGGAAAACATTTTGCACGTTGTGCTCCGAAATATTTAGTTTTAGACAGCTGAATTCTAAAACATCCTCCCTGCACAGTGCACCATTTGCAGGACAGCATGGTGCATGTGTGACCATTAAAAAACAGTTCTTTCATTGTAGTGTATGGGTTTCCAATTGTTTAACCCTTTTTACTTACTAATCGCTATCGGTTAACTACCAGCAGGGGGCGTGAGTGATGTTCCTTTTAAGTCAAGCACCTGAATATCGGATCGAAAACAAGATTTAAAGGTAGATGCCGCCTTGTGATGAAAGTGATTTAGATTAAAGTAATCCGATCTTCATAAATTTAAAGAAACCTATGTTTCTACGTAGTGTTGTGCAAGAACAGTCATGCTTCTTCACTTCTGAGGAACAACACATGGATCATCTGCATCAAACCCTGCATGATGTCAGAAGGCAAATCGACTCAATTCTGCCTACTTCTGGCAATTCCAAGAGTTATCGGAACGGCAGGACCACAGCAGACGGAACAGCCCCGGCCGACACCAGCCACGCACATCCCCAGGGTGGGCTCTGACCTGCGAGCTGCTATCTGTCTTGTACAGTTCCCCAGGCTTCTGTCCTCTCTGCTCCACGCTGTAATACTTGCAGTGGTTCCACTGGACCATAGAGGGGCTCTGGGTGGGCTGGGGCCCATTGGGGACACTCAGCTGCATCACCACCACACCTGTACCTGGAGGGGCCACACCTGGAGACACATACCACTTGAAAGTCAATGGCACAAAATCACATTCATGAACGTGCCACTTTCTTCTTACATCATGACATATGCTGTAAGTGATGCATGACAAGTGATGGACTGTGCCATCAGCATTCGAGTACAATGCAAACAAATGCATCAGAATTCAGAACAAGTGCATCAAAGAAAAAGCTGATTTTACAACCTGCCACAAAGAAACAGGGGATCAGGGGAAGGCGAGGTCCTTGTGTACTGCTGTCTTCACATTAATTCATTACATTTAGAGGCATTACAGACTTGCATTCCAAATTTAGAGAAAACAAGTCTGCACTTCAATTGCCATCTTGTGCATTATGCAATATGAATGCATTACACTCCTAGGTAGGCAAGGTAGCTAGACAGCATCCCAAATATGTTTGAACTTTAAACCAGCATTACAGGAGGATACAGCTATAATTAAAACGTACGTTTAAACAATCATCTCAACCTGATCGGAAAACGTGTCTGTCAACTGCATGATTGCATGTAGTACCAGTTTCTTGGCACTGGGTGGTGCACTCTGCCCAGTTTTATGAACTGTGAATCATTGCTCTTCACTCCATCCTCAGACAGAGCCCCAGCTGTGCCCTCCCACAACCTCATAAGGTTGAACAAAGACTATCTGAGCAAGGCGTACAAGATTGGGGGGAAAAAAACCATTTAAAAACTGATCAGACAAACTCAAAACATAGCAAGGCACAGACAAACACAGCTAGGGGAGACAGACACAGAGAAATGCAGACAGGCTGTGGCCCACGCAGGCAGGCAGGCTACAAGCACAGGCTGACATTCAGAGGCTCGCAGACACGCAGAGAGCCGCCCTCACCTGAATATTGCTGCTGTATCTGTGGCGGGTTACAGGGAGAGGGGGACTGTGGAATCTGGTACTGCTCAGAGCTGGGGGGTTGCAGAAAGCCCACCGATGGGCTGAAAGACAGAGGGCAACAACACAACTGAGCTCCAGGAACTTCAGCAGGTAGGCAAGGACAGCCGGGTTACTGGGTCTCAATCCGAGCACATCTGAATCGTACAGGCTGTTATTATCCCAAACCACTGCCCACTTACACCCAGCAAGTTTCCCCTGCACTGCTGTTGCAACTGTAATGAATTCAGTGACAGAGCATGGAGGGGAGGGGGAGCATGCACGTGACTTTCTCCGCAGTATCTAATAACCACCTGCCCATTTTCTCTTCAATCCGAGCCCCCCCAGGCCTCTCACCTTGTGCTGGTCTGCTGTGCTGGGGGGAGGACGCTGTAGTAGACTGGCATTGCGCCCCCTGGCAGCCCCCCCTGCACAGACTGGCTGGCAGGCACCATCACAGGCTGCTGGTATGTCTGCTGGACCACCTGTTGGGATTCGTTGCCCACAGGCACCTGGCGCAGGAGAGACAGGCACACAGTGGTCAACGGGTGCCCACGGCCTTCAAAAACAAACTTAGAACAGTCTAATGCCCTTTGAGATGAAGTTTCCTTTAATCTGTAAATATTAAGAGATGTGCCCTGTCTGAAATTCTCTTAGGTGACAGAAGCAGTTGTCACCCCGTCTGGGCTTACAAAAACAGACTCGATGGCAAAATGTTAAAAAACCCCTTATTTCTAGTAGAACCAGGACCATCTAGGAAGGTGAAGAGCTACTGATGCTGCACAGAGACAATACAGTGTGAAGTCCTATGATTCTTTTTTCACAGCATCAGATGAAGCTAAACCATCTTTAAGTCCCTTAATTCTGAGCCTCCAGGGCTGAAAACCTTGATGTCTATGGGGGTAAAAGCACCCTCTGCCCAAAACTGAAGCAAGGAAAAGGGGCAGATAGGTACTTCTGTTCACTAAGGATTTTAAGAGGATTTTTGCTTTGTACCTGGTATGAAGGCAGCGGTGGATATTGGACCATCATGCCTTGCATCTGGTTTCCCATGTTGCCCCGCTGGGTGTTGAGAAGGCTGGGGTTCTGTGGCTGTTGGACTCCCATCATGCCTTGATACGCTTGCTGCTGATTGGGCAGCATGGTCTGGAGTCCTGCTGAATAGTGTGCAAAAAAAAAAAGTTTCAGAACTTGGTTTAAAAAGAATGTCTCTTCAGGAAAAAAGGATATGTTTTGTTAAGATTTAACTTGCAGGTGGTTTCTTTAGCGTTTGGTCCTTTTCAAACTCTGGGAGCCTCCTGACCTGTCCATTTGTTGTGCTTGATAAGTGATATAAAAGGCAGAATATGCCTTCATAATCTGAAGCTTTGGGCAGTTCTACAGTTCTGCAAACACAGAAAACCATCCGTTTTCTAACAATTTTATCCATTACGGATTCAAAGGAGAGCTGAAGCCTGCTGAAGGCAGGATATACCCCGGACAGGACGCCAGTCCACTGCAGGGCACACACAGACAAACACAAACTCACGCCAGGGTCAAACTTCTCATAAGCCAATTACCCTACCAGCACATCTTTGACCATAAATCCACATGAACACGGGTAGTACATACAAACTCCACACTGACAATCTCAGGAATTGAACCCTTGGGCCACAGGGCTGCGAGGAAGCAATACTCATCATTGCACCACCATGCTACCCTCAGAAAATTTAGTCTGTTAAAAATACAGCTGAAGACACTGTTAGGGTTAGTAGTGTTGCCAGACAAGTATTTTTCACCAGTAAACCTGCTGGAAAAAAAAAAATCCTGGGGGACTTAACCTTTTTATCAGAGCTTATGGTTTTACTTACTTACTGCTAACCTGGAATAACACTCACAAAAGAGCTTGACATTTGATTGGGACTTGAAATTAAACTATGAAACTAATCAATGTGGGACCAATTGGAAAAGGCTACATTCCTTGACGAGACGGGGACAAAACTCAGTCTTTTTAATTGCTTGTGTTAATCATGTCAACTATTGCATCCTTCCAGACTGGCTCCTGCCCCTCTACGAGAGCAGTACAGAAAGACGTCTCGTGCTGGTTGAGAAAGTTGGGGGAATGGGTATGGGGCGATCGCTCACCTCGCCTGACTGCGGTAGTGCCAGCCGGGCCAGAGGTTGAGAAAGCTGGGGGTGTGGGTATGGGGCGCTCGCTCGCTCACTGGACTGCTGTAGTGCCAGCTGGGTCAGGGGTTGAGAGAGCTGGGGGCGTGTTGTGGCACGATTGCTCACCTGACTGCTGCGCCGGCTGGGCGAGGGGTTGGGAGCGCTGGGACGGGTAGGACACCTGGTGGGAGAGCGGGCGGTACTGCTGTCCTGAAGTGGGGTACTGCCCCGGAGCATAGTAGGACACTTGAATCTGAAACACACATCCCACAGCAGAAGAGGGAAACGGGTGAGGGCTGTTCCTCCTCCTTCCCCACTCCCATCGGAGGCTCCAAGAGCAGGTAAGCAGACTTCAAGGTCGGCGGGGTACCCACCTGCTGAGGGGGCGGGGGCGGGGTTTGAATGTACCCCTGGGGGGGTGGCGGAGGCGGTGGCGGCTGCAGGACAGGCTGCGAAGGCGGGGGCGGAGGGGGTGGGGGGTGAGCGTGGGCAGAGCCAGGCTGGAAGGCGGACGCGGGCATCGGCTGGGCCCCCGAGGCCATGATGTAGCTGGGCTGGGGCGGAGGGTGCTGGGGCAGGACGGAGGGAGGCTGGAACAGTGATGGGGGCTCCGGGGCCTCGCTGGAGCCCTGCCGGCTCAGGGTCATCTGACTGAACTGCGGACCCAAATCCTCAGTCTGAAAGAGATGGGAGCAGAGGCGGAGAGGGAATGAAAGCACGCAGATATGAGAACTGACGAGACTAGTTTCTGTACCCCTTGACTAGTGACAGCCCCCACATGAGTTAGCCTAAATGAGGCAGCACAGGATTGATAACTAGGGCTTTGGAAACCACTCAGGCACCTAACATTGCAAAAGGAACACAAGCAGCTCAGCATAATGACATTAAGGATATTTATAATTTTACAACATTTGTCAAGTAAATTCCACCCATTAATATATATTCTGTTTGTTCATAATTCACATCGGCAAATAGGTCGGTTCTTATTGCACATTTAAGTTGGCTGCACTGTTGCAGGTAACAGCTTCCATGGTCACTCATACTCCTGAGCCCCACAGCGGAACAGGTGGAATTCTCCACCCTGCTGTTACCCCAGGTTAAATCTACGCATTCATCTATTTTATAACTCCTTCTTCCAATTGAGGGCTAGCAGGGGAGCCAGATTCTATCCCAGCAAGCATCAGGCGCAAGGCTGGGTCACGCACACCCTCACACCAGGGCCCATTTTCCCAGAAGCCAATTACCCTGCCAGTGTGCCTCTGGACCGTGGAGGGAACCTGCAGGGACACGGGGAGAGCACGCAGAGAGCCCCCCAGGAACTACCTGAACCCAGGACCCCAGTGCTGCGAGGCGGCAATAGTAACCACCACGCCAGCACCAGTGTGCTGCCCAGGCTAAACCTAGTTTAACCTCAACTGTGCCTGCAAATCGCTGCTTCCCAACCTATGAGTAATGGATTTATTTAGGTGGTTAGGAGACAATCAATGCCGTCACCTTGGATCACCACTAGAACTCGCCTTTATTTTCGACAACCCAGTTCTAATGGCTAGTCAACTCTGGCTTGCGATCCCAGGCAGCCATGAGCAGAGAAGACCAAAGAAAAATGCAAACTACCTGTTCAGGCCCTTCTGCTGTATCCCCCTCTCTTGTTTCCTAAAAATTCTCAACTACTGCTCCTGCGAGTGAAGCTGAGGCCTTGGCAGAAAGCCGAGTAACCTGAACGCCTCAGCCAGCCTTTCAAAAGACGCTTGAAATGGAGAAGTGGAAAAAAAAACGCTGCCTGAGTCTGAGAAGTGACCATGCAGAGGGTGTCAAGGGGAAAAAAAAGGGGGAGGAGGAGAGAGGAAAGGAAGGAAATGTATGGGAGGTGGGGAAGGGAGGGGGCGTGTCATGAGACAGCATGAGAGACCGGAGAGTAAGAGAGAGAGGCAGACGGGGTACCATGTTGTACTGCTGGGGGGGGGACACTGGCAGGATGACCTGGGGGCAGGAGGTGCTGGAATACTGCACTGGCTGCGGAGAGGGCTGCAGAGACGCCACGGGCTGCAGAGACGCCACCGGCTGCAGACAAGGGGGGGAAAGGGAGAGCTCGGTTACAGCGATCTTTTAAAAGAGCTGCTGAAAAAGTCATTCCTGCTCTCGAAAGACTACAATCAGACCATCCATATTCATGAAACCGTTGCACCATTCTGATCTATTGCATCACTCTTTTTTGGGGAAAAGTTAAACCGAAATTCAATTCCGAACGGCCAGGTGGGATATCGGCATCAATCGTTCCTTAATAGGGACAAATAAGCCTGCTGAATTTTGACAAGACTGTTTTCAACTTGAACATGCTGTCACCGTATTACGGGGAAAATAAAGAACATGTGAGGGTACATGAGTTTTGAATATGACTCTGCTTGGCTTCCACGTACTCTGCCACATAAGGGTGTTCATCCCTTTCCTACCCGCAGCATGAAGCGAGATTGCTCTCTGCAGCAAAAATACTTAGGGGCTGTTGTGCCGCTGGCATCCTGAAATCCTGTTACTGTGTGACGACACAGAAGTAATTCAGTTAGGAGCAGACTTTACAGCCCCATTGGGATTCCTGCACGTGGAAACAACTGGAATGCGCAACAAAGGAGCAGGGGGGCAGTTTTATAGAACAAGGAAGGAACAGAAATTAAGAGATGGATTTCAGATTATAGTATCTTGACTTGGAAACGCACTAATTAAGAACCCTTAAAAATTAATCCAATGGAAAAAAAACAGGTCTACAAAAGCAGTGATCTGGGGGGTTAATCAAATTAAACTAATTATAATGCAATCATTTCATTCCAGGCAGACGTCACCCTGTAAATTCAACGCCACATGCAAAAGACAAAACTGAACAGTGAAACTGCTTAAATTTAGAAAAGAAAACAGCATTTGTACCTTGCAGGACCAGAGGAGCATAATTATTTAACCATGTAGAGCAGTACGTAAATGACTGCTAAGTCATGACACGCCAACCAGAAGAAACACTGCACCTTTTCCATCCTGCAAGGGTTACAAAACACACCTGAGCGTATTACTCATCCTGCAAAGAAAAGCTCTCACTTCTCTCTCCCTCAGCAATAGCAGCAGGAGACGGAGCCTCGGCTGCCTACACACTGCTAAAACCAGCACCCCCCTCCCATCTGCCCCCCAGGGACATCGTGACTCACCTGAGCCATCATGTGATTGCTCATGGGAGGCTGCGGAGGGGTGGGCAGCAGGGCGCTCTGGGGGGGCTGTGCCTGCTGTCCCTGGGGCTGTGCTTGGCTGGAGGGGCAGGGGAGCAGGCTGCGGGGTGGCTGGGGCGCTGAACACGGGGCGACTGCATCAGCGGTGGTAATAGGGAGCCCTAGAACACAAATGCGGACATGTTGTAGAGGTCAGTGTTACACGACACATTGATGGACAATCTGGTCAAATCCTCTTCTAGTCCAGAGGTACAATTAGATCACACATCATCCATCAATTCCTTATGAGAATTATGTAGTACATGTTTAAAAAAAACACATCAGAAAAATGCTTGAAGCTGACATCTATTACATGTTTTAGATTTTTGTTTTTCTAATGATATGATACCAATATTGTGTAATAATCTCACCTAAAATAATGTTTTAACCACACTGCAGATTAAAATGAAAGGGGGAAACACAGAAACGTGCTCTTCTGGAACTTGCCCTTCATCTGCTTTTGATGCACTTAAGCTCCATTGTGAGGTCCAGGTGAGTCAATGCCAATTGGAGGACTAGTGCGTCTCTCACTGATGTCACAGCCAGCAGCCAGAGCCGTGGCTCCAATGCCAGCAGTAAAGACCGTGGCAGACTAATTCCAACGCTACCCCAGGAGTGCACTACCACTTGGGAAATCCCAATACTGGTTGAGTCACTTGGGATATGGTGAGATTTATTTTGTATAACTCTATTCCAGGTTCTGCCCAAGGCATACAAACGTTTAAGTCCTCTTGGGTTTTAATTTGACCACTGTGTAGAATACCACAAGGCTTTTAAAGCTTCTTCAAATAAGAACATCAATATCCTCTCCACAGATAATCCGGACCTAGAACTGTCCTTATTATGCAGGGTTAAAATAACCCTTACACCCTGCCCCCAGCAGCTATATAAAAGTATAGCTATATAAAACAGGGCAGTGAAATCACTGTTTGTGTAGCTGTTGCACTGTAACTGTGGGTTCGGCTACAGAAAACTATGCAGAGGGAAATAATCAGTCAGGTGCATTAATGCCACCTGAAGGCATTTCAAAATCAAAATAAAGAACACGTGAGAGATGGCCTTCAACCCAAAAACTAGCTTTCAAGTGAGAAATTACAGCAATAACCAGGACACTTGTATCCAGACTAGATAACATATGTTTTAACACCACGTCCCTGCTTGCATGGGCTCAAGACGACCTGTATCGGGAGCAGTCTCTTTCAAAGGTGGGGAAGGGAGTGCACACCTGTGCGGGAGATCCTGCAGCCAGCGGGCACCCCCTTGGCACTGCCAATGCTGTCACCCCGGGTGAGGATGGAGATGCCGGAGAAGCTGCTGGCCTTGGTGACCGGGGGCCGCAGGGTGCGGTTGGAGCTGTCCGAGTCGGTGCTGCTCCAGGGTCGCGGCTCCAGGCACTTGAGCTCGCTGTCCGTGCTGCTCTGGCGGCTGCTGGAGGCCCGGCTGGAGCTCTCCCGGTTCCCCCTGCGGGGCAGAGCGGGGGCACAGGCACACGGGAGGTCAGGCGGCGGCGGTGGAGGGGGGGCCTAGGCGCGGGTAACAAGCTGGCACGCACAGACAGATGTGGAGCCCAGACACTGCACGCATCGGACCAGCTGCTGCCCCGCACCGGGACAAGCATCTCATTCGCGACAGCTATGAGGAAACCGCACGCGTACAACACAAGAAACACGCAGACGGGGAGGAGGCTTGCGTGCATGCAGAAAAGCAACAGCGCCAGAGGTAGACGTTACAAAGGAGGGCGTCAAACACATGGAAAGAACGCACAGCAGGTACCCTAGAAAAGAACAAGCAAGACGCTCTTCGGGGGGGGCGGGGGGGGAGAACTGCTCAAGGAACAGTACATGAGCTCTGCCAACGGGAACGGGTGCTTCATTTTTAAGCTGTGCCCCACGTGTCTACATAAAGGTACTCTTCAGAAGGGGACAGGGTTTAACCAAACAGCGGACAGCAAGTAGGGGCATCACGCAAACAGGCTTCAGCTACTGAACAAGACTGGGCTCCACGACAACAGTGCACAACTGCAGACCAAGCAGGCGAACACACCTTGCAAACCTGACACAAAGGCCAACAGACTCTGCCCAATGTGAACAAGATGTGCAAGTGGGTCTCAGAAGTTAATCGGCTGATTCCTTACGATGGAATTGCAACGCATCACGTGCTGCCTTGAACTGTGGTCAAAACTCGGCGTGACTGCTGTCATCGGGCAGAGTGGATTGGACTTTAATACAGAGAGAGCAGCCGCCCGCGCACACACACCGACAACCGATGTGCACTTTCTATGCCAGAGCAACATCACTTCCTCACACACACGCACTCCTGCACTGACGGACAGCTCCAAACGTCCTGGCTGGAGAACAACACGAAACAGACTGCACAACCTCCCCTGGGACCTCCAACCTCCTAGTAACCCCCCCTGCCCTTGAACCAAGCTGGTCTGGTAAAAAAAAAAACACTCCTCTGTCCATCAGCTACCTGATGAAACATCAGGAGACGGTGGGGTGGCAGAGTGGACAACTTCTTGGCACGATGCCTAAGGGGTAAGCAAATACACTCATCCCTTAATTTTCACACAGCTGGCTTTCGAATTGTTGATCTTACAAAAGCACACATTTTCATAGCTGTTTTTGCACTCACACAGAGATTTTCAAAACAGTGAAGGCGCATTTGTCTGTAACCGAACGAAACACTCAATTCTCGGTTTGACCTCCCACAACACACTTTCTACAGCAACTGTCATAAAACAAGCAACAAGCAATAGTGTTCTTACTTTCATTAATCAGTGCTCTGGTAGGGCAGAAATAAGTAATGATTTTCTAGACTTCAGGAAGGAGTCTGAAGGTTTTACATATAAAGTAATGGGTACTGCCTTTTTGGCCTACTAGGAACAAATAATGATCTTAAATCATTATTTGAAAAACGAGTGAAGGATACATTGCCTTTTTTATTAATTCATCCCAGAATTACAGGGAATCTTGTTTTATGGTTCTGCTACACTGTCATCAGGGCCCAACCCTTACTGACATCAGTCATAATGGAACTCTCCCCTTTCAGAAGAGCTAGTTAGCCTGGGTAGCTAAAGCATCTAAGCAGAAAAAAGGGAGTTCAAACAGGGCACAAGTACTGACAAACTGCTAAGGATGTACCATATTCAGAAAAGCAAAACCACTCGACAGCAGGGGTGCCCAATCCCGGTCATGGGGGCTGATGTGTCTGCAGCTTGTTTTCATCCCAACTCAGCTAATCCCGGCTCGACTGGACAAGTTTAACAGCTCGTTTCAAAACCTCAGGTCCTGCCGCGTAACAGATCTTGAAAGCCTGCAGAGAGACCAGCTCTCCAAGACCAGGACTGGACACCCCAGTCTAGAGGGTGTTCTCTGGTCTAAAAGCTCATTTCACCTCTGCCTGCATCCTGAACACCGAGTGATCCTTCCACACAAAAATCAAGGCCACCCTGCTTTTTAAAAAGGGTGCTTGCATATGAAAGTAAAGTCTTTTTTTTTCCCAGTGGAAAAAATGAACAAAGATCAAGGTGAATTTGCAATTCAGATGCAAGAATGAAACTGAGATCATTACAGAATTTCTAATAACTGATAAGAATATATTCTATCCTTGTATGGAAATAGAACCTGAATGCCTTGAGGTTCTGAAACCAGTGCAGCCTAATAAATATTTCACAGAGCTTGTAATTAACGGCAGGTGCTATTTATATGGTGCGCTATTTAAAGAAAGAGTCGTGGCCTCTTTCAAACGCAGAGAATGAGATCCTGCTTAATTTCACACTATTGTTTTTTTGCTTCTTAAAGAGTGTGATTCTCCATGAAACTAGGCAGTGATGTGGTATGTTGAGAGATGCATACAGGCTCTCTCTGGGCTGTGCCCAAAACACAGTTTGTATTGCGGTAAAAAAAATCTTAAAGGTCCTTCTTGAAATTAACAGGACAGGGTTTATTGCCCCTGTACATGCTGCCGGATAACATTATGAGGACTGTGTTCACTTGACATTGCAGCAGAGGCATGGATCCACAATCCGAAATCATTAAAATATCGTACTGCACTCTCCCGGGCATTCACTAAATTGTTCCCCTGCAATCAGACCCCATGATACTGCACCACCACAACACAGAACACAGATCATCCATTACCCATGCACGCACATGCCGATCACAATGCTGCTTGTTTCCTTCACAGGTGCCTGTGTGAGACCAAACGGCATTTAAGAGCATCTATCTAGGGGGTTGAGATGGCATTCCTCTGTGCCTAATACAAGTCAGAGGCCGGCTATCCATAAGCCTGATGATCCATGGAGGCCCTTTTCCAACACACACTGGCTGCCGGAAAAATATCATCCATATAGAAAATAAAAGCCCAGGGCTCCGCACTGAGTTGGTCAACTGAGAAGAAATGGTACCCAAACAAACTGAGCAAATGTTGCGCTGATAACCTGGTCTATCCTCTATATGTGCAAGCTCTCAATCCTCACCATTTAGCTGCTGTGTTCTGAAGTGGTGCAATGGATTCTATGGTCTAAAGCTTCTGCACAGCACTGTCCTCGAAGCCAATGGCACTCCAAGGTAGAGGATCAGAACTTCAAAGCAAGCTACCTCCCTTCATTTGGAGAATGGACAAAAAGGGGTGCAAAAGATGATTTCTGAGAGAATTCGAGCAGCCCACAGGGCCTTGGGTTCGAGAGATGGACCTCCTGAACAACTTGGTGAAGGCAGAGCTAGTTTGTTTTTAGCTGTGCAAAATGGTGTGGTTGAGCAGATGGGGAAGAAAAACAAGCACCTGAGAAATCAGGGGTGCAATAGTGATGTGCGAAAAGGCTTAAGTTGATGTTGTTTCAGCTGTGATTTTGATATTTGTGTGTTTAGATGGAATTACTGAGAATACAGTACCAAGCACAAGGCATCCTGTGATAGCGAGGGTTTACATACAAGAGCCCTGCGGCACAGGAATGGGTCAGATTACAATGGGTAAAGAAAATATTTCCACCCCTGATGAGCATGCTGAAAATACCAGCTGAGGACAAGACGGAGCTCTGCAAACTTGAACAGCTCAAACACCAGTGCCTCTTGATTCGCCATTGGGTTGGCAAAGAGGTGTGTTAATCAGGCCTTCGGGCACGATGCTCTTCATGGTCTTGGGGTGCATGAGTAATGGCCGAGAGAATGTCGGAGCTGGACATATAGAACCCCAGTTCCCTGTTCTGTCCAAAACAGGCTGCCTGAAAGTCAAGTTCACTGGATCGAGCCCCCCCTCCCTCCCCTTCTGTGGATCTACTCCTTGCAGGGGGAATGAGTGCATGTGTCCGAGGTGGGGCGGTATTTGCCTGAAAGTGAAGTGGAGGTGAAACCATTGGAGGAAAGACGGGAGGAGAAAAAAAACTGGAAATGCGACATATGAGCGTCAATGACGGAGCCAGATATCCCACAATCAGCCATGCATGGAGCGACACCAGGTGTCCAAGCAGATGGAACCGTGACTGGCAAACCATAACACACAGGTACCTAAAGATCTGTCTCCTTTTTTGAGAGCTAGAGGAAAAGCCTTCAATGGAGAGTCTGTTGGTTACATTAAAGAAAATGGCATTACCACTGGGGGGAAACAGTGTTGCCCCCCCCCCTTCAGAAATAAAGCAAGACACTGTGCAGTTTTGAGTTTGCAGTTTCAGGGTCCATGACTGAGCAACGCAGGCAAAATACTGAAGCTTCTCCAGCATCCAATTGGCACTTTGGTTGAAGGGGAAAATGTTTTCCTAATATGGAAACCCTTTTGACCATATAGAATCATTCCTTTTATTTCTATTTTGGTCATTTTCCCTGAAAGGCATCTATGAAAAGGGGGCAGGTGCTGGCCAAAAACAACACAAATTGAGAATTTTGAAAAGAAAAAGGTTCACGCAAAGGCAGTTTGGATTTGCAAGTGATCCCATCTGAGAGACCGGTGTCGGCCAGGGTGAATGGGAGAGATGTGGTCAGACATGCTGCCAGTGGAGTCTTGCGGTGTTACAGCACCTGTCTGGCCACACTGCTGTCTCTGAACTTGACAGACCACTTCATGTTAAACCAGTCAGGAAAACCAAGACAAGTGTTTCCCCCCCAAAAAAAACAACAGATTGGACACCTGTTTAACCACTTGGAACTGTAGATGCAGTAGATATTTCATTTTCAGCAAATGTTCATAACAATTTTGCTCCAAAAGGCCAGATTCAAGAGAATCCTGTGTAAAGAGCTTTAACATACAGTGATGAGACACGATGTTCAGTCATTATTTGATTTATAGAGTAGTGTTATTAATGTAGGATTCAAGAGATCTATTGTATCACTCAATCCTGGAAGACAGGGCAGCATTATTGAAGTGCTTACCTGTTGTCGTTGATGTATCCATTCTGGGATGACTGAAAAGAAAAAAAGACCTACAAATTATTAAAAAGCTTTTCTACCTTTCCTCAAAAGTAAGTGTATATCCAGCAGTCTCTGTTGGCGCTGATCCACAGAACCAGCACAAAGAAAAGTACATGACTCCAGTCACTCTTAGGACTGGCCTCCGAAACCAGGCTTCTGTCTTCTGCTCCAGCCAAGGTCTCAGTGACTTAAGTGAAACCCCTTACTGAATTAAATCAGCTTCATGACTGAGACACCTACAGAAGTTCATGGAACAGGGCTGAAAAAGAACTGAGCTTTAGTCTCATTGCACAGTTGTAGTTGTTTTTTAAACGGATCAGTACCAGAAAGTTTCAGGTACTTCTCTACAGGGGCAGCACAAAGCGCAGCCATTTCAGATTTGCCTTGATTTAAAAGCAACAAGAATAGTCACAGGCCTACGATTTTGCAAAAGGGGCGCGCCAGCTTCCTACTTACTTCCCGAGCGAATATCCGCTCCCGCGCCCTCTGGTACTCCTCCTCCCGCTCCTCGATAGACTTGCTCCTGCGCCCGTCCTGCAGCGGGACTCGGATCTGCAGGAAGAGAAGGGTTAGGGAGCAGTGGAAACGTGCCTGTAAAACTCCCGGGGAACTGACTTTAAGGAACGGAGCCCCTCCCCAAAACAGCATGAATCGTTAGTGCAACTACCTAAAGAGCAGCAGGGACACAGGGCAGGTTAAAATTTGCTTTATAGCACAGAACACTGCACCACTGAACGTTTCCTAAAACATCTGTGTACAAGACTGCACATTTCACTTGGAGGAGAGGGGAAAGGCTCTGGCACTGAAATCGGTACTGCTCTCGACGCACTCGGACATAGCCGAGAAGGATGTCCCAAGATCAACATAACATACGAAAGGTCAGAAACGAGGTGAGGCCTTTTGGGCCACCTGGCCATTTGGTATTGGTTAACTGATGCCAGCATCTCATCCTGACGTTTCCTGACAGAAGCCCTGGTATCGCCTTCCATGACATTGCTGGATATCTCATTCCACACCCCCACTCTCTTCTTTACTCAAACCTTTGAGTGAAGAAGTGCCTGCTGTTTTGAGCATTAAATGCACTTCTGCAGAGTTCCCACTTGTATAAGAACAGCGTGAATCTCCCTCAAAGCACTTAACAGAACGAAACGGTACAGATTTCTAACTTTAAAGGCTGGTGCGTCTACATGCATGCTCTTAGGGGTCAGAGCAGAAGTGAGAGTTACTTGTTCCCATACCTGGTTGTCGTCTTTATCCATGCTGGTGTCATCTCTCTTCAAGATGAACTTCTTCTGGAAGTCCATGTTCCGCTCGTCTTTGATGTGCTCTGAGAACCTCTGCTCAGGGCTGCCAAGGACAGGGAGAGAGAGGAAATTAGGGAAGCACACGCACACACACACAACAGGCATGTGGGATCCATTTACCATTTTGAATGTGAAGAACACCAATCTTGGCCTAATCCACACATTTCTGATGGATCAAGAAGTTAAGGTTCTGTACATTGCTGAGAACGTAAAAGCATATCTGCTCTATATATCACAAATTAACAAAGCAGGAAGAAACCTAGAAAATGTCCCAAGGAAATTCAACAGACTAGCTACTCTCACAAAGGTAATACACACACTTGATAGATCAGCAGGATGGACAGATGCAGTTTATTAATTTTTTGTAACCTGGACCTTGACAAATGGGCTCTAAAAACGTGTGAGTTTCTGCAGGTCTCAGAGACACCTTTCAATTAGTACCAAACTGAGACCTGGAAAAATGCAGGTGGTTTGACTTCTTTTCCACTCAGTTGGTCCGGATAAGTCATCACGATGGAATGAAAGACAGAAACAGACACAGGCCTCCAGGTCCAGGGTTCTCCAGCCCTGCTAGCGTGCTGTCTAACTGGTCAGTCTGATCTTCTAAGAGCAACATAACCCCCTGGGGAATCTTGCCCTCCATCACCTCCTCTCCTACAGTACTGCTCCCTGGTACCATCTGGAAAACCTGACTCACATGCGCGTGTTGCCGGTCTTGTTGATGATGACGGCTTTGCCGGTCTGATCCACATTGTGGTCCATCCCGAAATACGCAGCCACCCGGTGCAGGAGCATCCGGTGGTAGGAAGTCATCTGAGGAAACTTCTTGTACTGGTTACTGCAAAGGTGGAAAAAGCAGAGAACAAAGCAGGAGGGAGTGAGAAGAGGAAATAAGAGCTGCCGTGGCTCTGTGGCTAAGGATCTGCGCCTGTGGCTGGAAGGTTGCCGGTTCAAATCCCGCAGCCGGCAGAGGAATCCTACTCTGTTGGGCCCCTGAACAAGGTCCTAAACCCCAGCTGCTCCAGGGGCGCCGTATAAATGGCTGACCCTGCGCTCTGACCCCAAGCTTCTCTCCCTGTCTGTGGGACTCCTGGGGTATGCAAAAAGATGAATTCCTAATGCAAGAAATTGTATATGGCTAATAAAGTGATTTTATCTGATTTAACTGGGGTCTGAGCAGAATCTGGTGGCTAGAATCGCTCTTTTCTCACCTCCAGTAGAAGCACTTCACTCACCTGTTATCATTGATGAACTCCAGGATATCCTGTTCCAGTTTTAGCAGCATCATTCTATCCCTGTCAGGGCAAAAAAAGGAACACAGGGGCATGAGCTAAGACTCAGCAGAGGCAACCATCTGTTCTGAATCCCCCTTGGAAACAGAGGGTGGATTCCCTTTCCTTGTCTTCCTCAGAGACTGTTTCTTACGGTCTCTTTTCATTACTACAGAAGAACGAGTTCAGTCACGGAGAAAGTTGCAAGCTCACAGCCTGCGCAAGTCCATTCAGCCATATGGAAAATCACCACCACCTCTCCAGGACCCACCAAAACCCACCTTCCTGCCCATCGTCAGCTCCTCTCCAGAACTCACCCCCAGCTGCTGGGATCCAATCCAGGAAGTTGAATCAGACAAAACAGTATTAAAACCTGCACCGAGAAAGAGAGTTTAAGACATAGACCCATGCGGGGGCGTTACCTGGGGTTGTTTTTCAGTGTGTTGACCAAGAACTCGTGGACGTCAATGCCCGTGGAGTCGGTGTATTCCTGGCTGGAGTCTAAGGAAAGAATGTGTGGAAAAAGAGAAAACCTGATCAAACCAAATGTCACCTCGCATGCCAACAGGAAATTGCAAAAATGGTATCTGATGCCTAGACTGAATCAAAAAGCAGGTTCAGTTTTGGCAGCTGGCAGAGAACTGAAATCTCAGTCCAGTAAACCTCCCGAACTGCACAAAATCACCTACTTCTAATGACCGGGAACACAAAGCTATTGACCAATTACCAACAATTATTTACTTAATCCAGGGAATTAGACCAGGGCTATTTCTAATTTCCAATGATGCCTTTTACAATGTATTGAAAGTAATACTGCCCTCTTCACATCCTCTTGGCCCTGCACAGACTAAGATATTTACACACACCACCCAAAAGCTATCACTTAAATAAGGAAACTATGGTCTTTGAGGGTTGAAGAGCATGCAGATTTTTAACCCAACTGTAGTTTTCTTTACCTGGCTTATCTGCAATTACACTATCAAACCAGTCAATTCCTACATACTTCTAACAGTTACCTACAAAACTACTGGACTGGGATCCCCAAGACCAGGGTTGCAGAACCCTGCTTGAGATCATGAATGGTTTTAAACAATCATCAAAAGACTCTTTGCCAACATCTATCCATTTTCTAACCACTTCTTCCAATTTCTTGTCAATGGGGAGGTGGAGCCTAGCCCAGCAAGCAAAGGGCACAAGGCACAGATGCGCACACGCACACATACACACACACCAGGGTCAGTTTTCCCGGCAGCAATATAACCTACCAGCATGTCTTTGGACTGTGGAAGGAAACTGGGGCACCTGGAGAAAACCCACATTAACACGGGGAAGAAATGCAAACTCCACATAGACAGTACCCCAGATCCAGAATTAAGCCAAGAACCCCAGAGCTGCAAGTCAGCAATGCCAACCACTGTGATACTATAACCCACTTCTCCAACATTAAAAAAAGTTGTTCTAAAAAAAAGTCTCCAGCTTGGATGTAGAATCTTTCTCAATGTCTCCCTACTCCTGCCCTGGTGAGGACGTGGGACCTTTACTTAATCACGAACAGCTACGACTCCCCCCTGCAGAGCTGCAGTACAAAGCACATTCCTGTTTCTCCAGGAATACCTAATCGAGACAAATGCTGTTGATCGCTACAGAGCAGAGAAGCTCGGCTACCAGAACTTTCAATCCATTTCAGCGCACTTAATTGGATAACGGAGTTAATTAACAGGTCATCACACAAGTAAAGTGCTGTGACCTTGTGGTGGCACAGACGGCCCAGCCTGGTGCTGAAGTAGCAGAGTTATGGGGTTATTACCGCGAGACAGCATCTTTCGAGGAGCCTTGTCCTTGTTCTTTTCCTTCTCCTCCTTCTCCGACTCATCCTTCGAGGATTTCTCTTCCTCCTTGTCGGAAGGGCAGCTAATGTGCAGCTGAATGATGTCCTGAAGGGGAGAGGAGACCGAGACGGATGGGAAAGGAAAAGACCTTTCGGCACGATAACACAATCATGGGGGAACACAGCGCGTTTTACACAGCTCTTAGATTTTTTTTAACTGGCGTCACAAGATGAAAGTAAAAACTAAAAGACTGGAATAAACCACCACACACCTCCACAGAAATGACCTGGGTGATTCTGCTGCTAAAGAAAAGCTTTAAAGCTTGACTTGCTGAGCATCCTTTACGAACTCAAACCAATACATCAAGAAAGCAAATAAAAGTTCTGTTCAGTCAGGCTAACAAAAAGGAAAGCAGATTTCTGGCTAAAGCAGCGTTTTCAACAGGCAGAACTGCAGTGCTGTTCTACAAATTAAATGGCACGCCACAGAATTCTTGAAAAATAAAATGAATCAATGATATAAAATAGTTGATACACTGGTTTTGAGGTGTAGCCAAAGTGTGCGAAGTGTGTTCGGTCTACACACGTGAGTGTTCACGTGGGAATCTCGTGTGACGCCAGTCCCATTTTTCAAGTTCGAAACGGGAGATCTGAAAGAATCTGAACACGAGCTCCGAGTTTCAGGATCACCAATTCCTGCCAAGATGATGAGGCGAACTAACTAAACTATAACTAGTTAATGATATTCATAATAACGCGCTCAGGCTGGTGACGTGTGTGTGCAGAGAGGGTGTAGCTGGGTGAACCTGGTCTTCCAGTGAATTACTAGTTTTAGTGTTAAGCAGTGCGATCCTTTCAGGAGGAGGGTAGTACCACTGCAGGATTACCAGTGGGGGGTGGACAGAATTTTGATTTTAATATAAATTAAATGAGGTAACTTTGTGTTAAAATTTTTGCTGGCATAGTTAGTAATGTCCCAGCACATTAATTAAAAAGCGGGGAATTTTGCAAATTCTTCCCTTAGTATTAATTCCATTCTATTAATTGGACCTCTTGCCAAATTAGTAGTACGTTCAAGGAGACCTTTAAAAGGGCAGTAAATTCTCTGTGGGATGGAACAGGCTCAGAAACACTGGGCTACAGCTATAAAGAACCTTTTGTCATTTAAACTTAAAAAAAAACATTTAGAAATCGTTCATCTCCACAATGAAGGGCCGATAAAACTCTTTATGTTTTCTAATATATCTTAAGATACTGAGACTGGGCTGTGACCTCCTCTCCCTGTCCCAGCCTGCTCTCACTGGGCTCATTTACAAAAAGAATACAGTGCGCTGTTCCCTCAGCACATCAGCCTCCCTCTCTCCCTGCCCCTGTGCACAATGGCTGTAAGCTCTTGATAACAATGCTCTTCTCTCAAGCGGTTACCCTCCCCCCCACTTTGCCCCGAAAGGGTACCTGTGATTCTGAAGGGCCGTCTCCTGAGAAAGGTCCTGAGGACTCCTCACACACCGCCAGGCTCCTCACCAGCTTTAATTTGGCATTTGACTACGGCACAAAATTAAAGACAGAGAGGTTATTAGACACTACGCTTAGCTGTTGTCTCATTAAGGGAAGTTAACATGGATAAAAACAAACAGCAGGACAAACAGTGAAAGTGTAACAGAACTACAGGGAAAGCTCATCTGACATCTATCATCAGAAACTAGAGTGCAGAAGTTTTTCTCCTCATGCAGTAGCTGCACCTTGCCAAGGATCCAGATGAAAGGCCAGGAGAGGGAACGCTGCCCACTGTACCCCCACCCAGAACCATGCGAGTCATCGTTAATTAAACATCACTCAGTGCCACGCCTCAGACTGTACCATGGCGGTAAGACAGAAGCGAACTGGCAAGGCCTGGCTAGCGTTCCTGGTCCACGATGCTGACACACTTGGCATGTCAGCCAAGTAGTGCAAGTTTATATATAGCGCAGGAGGTCACTGCAGAAATGCGGTGTTCCTTCTCCAACGAGGAGCAACCCAGATTAAGGCAGAGGGGATATATGAAGGTCAGCTGTGCGAAAGGAGAACAGCACAGTTGCAGCAGCAGTCCGTTCGATTACATGCACAGTAACCACAGTCACCGTCACGAGACGCGGACGCCCTCGGGCCGATCTGCAGGCTGGGCAAACCCCAGCGCCCTCCGACAGCGTGGATTAACAAATCACCGCAGCTGAATCAAAATCATGCATGTGACAGACTGAACGATACCCATGTTTAAAAGGAGGGCTTGTCATTATTGGTAATCTCCTGTTAATTTTGAAAGCGTTGCATGGCTGAAGGAGTTAGGTATTCAGGCCACGGATGTGCAGTGCCTATAAATGGCTTCATCTAAATCCGTCGTGATTATGTAAAAGCAACATAATGGCGATGAACACTGGCAAGGCAGCCTGTGGCAATCTATTTCAGGAGGAAGCGGCATCATTTTTAGTTAGGGACGGAGTTCGACATCCGCTTATGATTTCCATGGGAGAAAATATCCAATCATCACGTCTGTTCCTCAGATAATCAAAATAAATATAAAGTAAACCTGGGGGTCCAGTTTAACAGCTGGATCCAGGGCTCTGCACGCCAAGTGGAATTGTGGAATTGTGCGACAGCAGCAGAATATCACTGGGACTCCCTGATGGGCAACGCGCGATCCGCGCTCTTCCCCTGGGAACGCCAGGCGTACTGGGGATCGAAACAACGCAGGAAACGAAGCGCAGATTCTGGCCGTGCACGATCTGGAGAGCGTGCCGGCGTCTTCCATTCCTCCGTGGTTCGGGAGAGCTGGTCTGCTGATCCTCGGCTCTGACAGGAATGTACAGGAGGCACCAGGCGCTGTACGGTCACCAGTGCTGCTGACTAGCTGCCGTGCAGCATCAGCGGGGTCGAGGAACAGAGCATCTCACCTTGGCCCTTTTCCTGCCGTGCCCGTGGTTCTGGTTTCTCCGCTGCAGAGGGGAGACGCGTTAATCAATGTGAGACGACACACAGGCTCTGACACAAACTTCAATACAGTCCCCTGAACTGTCAGCTAAAAGAAAACAGCTCCCTCATTATAGAACAAAACAAGATATATATATATACACAATATAAAAAGTGCAAAACGTTGGCAATTCCTTGTGATGGAGAAAATTTGGCATTGGACTTTCCCTGGGCCAAACCAAAGACCATCCTAAATTTCACTGCCTAATGTAAAGAATAACCACACACTTGAGACTGCTTCATGAGATGATAAAGCTTTCGATATTTTAATCAGAATTACTTTTTTACAAGTCTATGCTTGCTACTCCCCGTTTCGCATGTGCCTTCAGAGTTCCTTTCTATTTCCAGCATGAGCAGCTGCTGGCGAGGACGATGTGGGAGAGGGCAAATACAGGAACTATCAAAACTATTTACCCACCTTGGTATTTAACCAGGAGTTTTTGACGGAAAACACTATATTGCCAAAGAGAATAATTCTACGGATCCTCATAAATTAATTATAATAGTAAAATTCTACGATTACATACTTCCTTTCTGCTGCCCACCCCCCGTCGACTGCGTGCCCACCTGGGTGTCCTGCGGCGTGCCCGACTCCTCGCCCTCCTTGTCGCACCCCTCCTTGGCGGCCGCCCGCACCGCCAGCTTGTTCTTGCCCAGCGCCTCCTCCACCAGCTTCCGCTCGCTCTCCTTCATGATGTCCAGGCTCTCGTGGGGGCTGCCGCTGCTGGACATGTTCGCCGCGCCGGGGGGCCAGAGCTCCCTGGGTCCCGCTGCCAAAGCTGTCCGGCACAGAGACGCGGCGGCGTCACTCGGAAACCCGGCTGAACGCCACCGGCGCGGAGCCGGTTGTCGTGCTTCTCACCAAGAGCACCCGCCGCCTGTCGCCTTACACTCTCACACAATGGGCTTCGCTGGGGCCATCGGTGCTAGGCGCCCTGCATCACCTGGCATCTGAACCCCCCAAGCTCCTGCCTGGCTCCCCCTTTCCGATACTCGACTGCAGCAGAGGCCCCTGCTTTCACCAGCTTGCCTGAAGATCTTTAACTATAACAAGCTTCACCTTCAGGATCATGAGGATCATGACCCTTTGCACCAACATCAACAAAAAGAAGGTTGTTTACTTCTTACTATACAGGAGGGAGATGGGGGAGCCTTTTGAAATCTTACAGCCCTTCAGCTTTCTGAAGACGAAGCAGTTAGTCTTTCACCAGAACAGAGCTGGGGTATTAACACTAGGTGTTTTAAACCAGGTCCTTACTTTATTTAACTGAGCACGTTAAATCAGGATGGTGGATCTGGAGCCTGTATCGCCGAGTATGAAATCAATTAGCTTATTCCAGGATAACTTGCACGTAATTATAATCTCTGACTATAATAAACTTTAATTTATATAGCAGCGATATAAATCTCGAAGCAATTTAAAGAATGACAGAAAAAGAAAAAAATACACAAGATATACACAATGAAAAGACACAATGAGAGGAGACAGTAGATGGGTGTACTGAAAATGGCAGAGGCAAAGGGGTATATAACAGAACCAGTTAAGTAAAGGCCCTTCTAAAAAGGAAAGCTTTGGGTGTAGATTTGAAAGAGCTTATGAAAGATGACACCCTGATATCCTCAGGGATAGAGTTCCAGAGCTCTGGGGCATAGCAGGAAAAGACCCTGTCACTCACAGAGTGTAGACAGGCTTGGGGGAAAGACAGGAGACCAGAAACAGACAAATGAAGGTTGCAAGGTGAGGAGTATGACGATAGTAGGTCAGACAGGTACTGAGGTGCCAAGCTATGCAGAGTCTTATAGGTGAGCCAGAGGATTCTGAAGCCGACACGAGAGGGTGTCAACTTCAAAAGCCCGAGGGTGAAGTTTAGAGTGGGTGGGGGGGGTGGAAGCAAAGGATCATCACCTGTAGCTCTAATCGACTCTAATGCGACAGAGCCCACGCTCTTCAAGAATCGGGGGAACCGTCTACAGCAGACTCTTCGGCTGGGCCGTGGTTAACTTGCATTCCATATCATGAAAACCACCGGTGTAGCCGCGCTGTGCCGAACACCTGGTCACTCCTCGGGCATGGTGAGCGGCGTCAGAGCAGGCCTGCTGGAGAGCGAGAGAGAGCAATTAATCCCAAAGATCAGCCAGGCCAATGCTGGCACCTGCCTTCCACTATCCTGGGAATGTCAGCAACCACCCACATGTCAACAACCCCCTTACGCTGTCGCACTGTGCGATACGATTGGACACCAACTGCATAGCAATTAGTTGCTTTCCAGGTTTTGTTTCATACACGACAATTGTACCAAGGTGCTTGATAATTGACTGCAGCAACAACAGAGGGGTCTGACTGGGGTCTTCGGGCTTCCTTCTCTAGGGTTAAAACGGTTAGTTTTCTTAAAAAGACATCTGAAGCCAGCGTTTATTTTTCACCGTGAAGCAAAACGAGCCGTTTAAGACTGCCGTGCCGCACGCGGGAGTCTCCTCCAAGCCCCCCTGTCCGCGCCATTCACCTCCTGGAGCACCGCGGGCTGCCCAGCACCTTTCAGGAGAGTTTGCATCAGTTGGAAGAATGGGAGAGACCGTTTTCATATAGTCTTTTATTAGGCTTTAAGGTGCTCTCTCAGCCAAGAAGATGGAGCTTTGCCTGCTACACCTACCGTACGCCACAGGCATACACTTTTTGGATACCGTAGTTCTAAACCCAAAGAACTGCAATCATAAATGGGAAGTTTACAAACAAGTGTTTCGGTCCAAATCACACCCCATTTTTTCTGAACTTGCCCTTCATATCCACTCGGTCATTAAGTACTCAACATCCCACACAGCTCATAACACCTGGAGCAGACTGAGCTGCAGTGCAACGGGAGTCTCACTGGCGTTGACTGGATTATAATTGGCGTTGCATGCTGTAGGACAGCGGGGATGGACAAACGGGTTGTATGGCTTTTGGTGGCATGGCGCACCTTCTGAGTGCTTGCAGTGCCGTTGGTGAGGGATGTGCCTCTCCTCCAATCGGCACTGCCCCTCTGGCACAGGGCGGTGCTGCCTGTGATGTGAATTAGAATACAAGTGGCGGGAAGGAGAGTGGGACAGAGGAACCTGCCTGCGCTTCCTCATTCTCCCCCGTGTGCGGTCACGGGGTTAATACCCCTGAGCCGACACGAAAAACACACAACTGGCTATTCCAGATCAGGTGGGTACAGCCAAAATATCTCGTCATTTTAAAAATTTTGAAAAAAAAAACAGTGCATTCTATTAAAACTTCAAAACAAAAACAAAACTCTTCTAGTTTGCCAAGTGGCTCAAAAGCTTTTTCGGAGATAACTTTTCAGGTGAATCAAAGTGCATGAGAAGCAAATGCTTTGATGCATTTTAAAACATGTCTCGACTGAGATTCCCCTTTCATTGCATTAATGTTCCAGTATCGAGTATTCCTGTAGGTTTCCCATCAGATAAGCTTGAATGCAAATTCAATTGACTGCGCAGTGAATGGATTAAACACCTCTTTGCCAGCAGTAGTCTAGTCTCTATACAGCAACAGTGAGACACTCTAAATCTCTGTGAAGATGCTGCGCCAGTCTGGAGAATACCAATGAGATCGGGAGCTGTAAGAGACACAGACTGTGAAAAGGCCAGACAAAATATTCTCCGACTACCAGCCACCAGACAGATCACACCCAGCTGCAGCAGCATAGCGACACACGCTGGTGCAGATTTCTACACTATACACAGCCCATTCAAGAGCTGAACTTTACTTGTGTTACAAACTTGTGGCGATCAGCAGAGCAACCCGTGCTACACTTGCTGCCGGACAAGGAAGTGTTTTCAGGTTTCCCTCTGAGGTATATCCCCCAATGGAAGCAAATAATACCCGTGTGTTAGACGGTGAAACCAAACACTGTGAAAAATTCTCTCTGGGCAAGATGAGCAAAATTCCGATTCAAGTGTCTGTCAGGAACTCAGCAAAAGTAATAAATACAGCAGCTCCCAATGCAAAACCCCCACAAGGTCAGTATTAAACAGATATCCAGCTTTCAACGGAAAACGATTAACAGAAATAATCGCTCGAATAACACCTGCAATTCAGACAGCAAAGAAATAATTCTTTAAATATTTTTTATAAATGGCTACAATTATATTGCTTCTTTATCTGAATTTCTCTTCTCGGAGCATGCTGGGCTGTTACTGCGCGATTTCGAAACTTATACTGCCTAGTATGGTTTCAACCCTAATTAATCGTAAGGTCAAAAATAAAAAAATAAGACAAATGAGAGGCCATTCAGCACTATCTAGCTTGTCTGGAAGTCAGTGTAGTTAAAAGCTTCATGATCCAAAGACATCTGGCCGTTTCCTAAAAGGAGGCCAAATATTGGCTTCAGCAACATGGCTGGATAGTGTGTCCCATACTCCCGCTTGTCCTTGAGTAAGTGCACACAAGGCTGCCCTGTTCCACCTCTCAAGGGAGAGAGCACCAGATAACACCTGGAGCCATTTCACTGTAACTGTGCTGCAGGACCCTGGACAACCTGCACTGATAAAGTTCCAAGCAAGAATAGTTTTTCCTCCATTAAACTGAAAAGATCCAGTGCATGGTGATGGCTTAATCCCTTTTTTTCCCCCCCAAGCGATGCAAAAAAAAAAAAAAGAACTGCCACCTTACAACGTCGGTACAACATCAGAAAAGATGGCTCCTGCAGCAGCAGGGACTGGATCTGGCTGCAGACATGATGACACTGCAGTCAGAAGGGACCCATGGGAGGGTCAGCTGGTGTGGAGAGCAGTCCCTTGAACTGTCAGTTTAAGAGCAGCAAAGAGCCTGAAGACCCGTGACTCCTGCCTCCTCCCTGCAATGTGCCTACCTGGCACGGACGCTTGATAAACGCTCAGCTGGAAACGTTATCACTTCGGTTAGGTTATCCATCACGTGCCCCACCATCACGTGCTTTCTGGAGTGGCCAGAGGGTTCATGGGGTCCGAATTCCAGTTGGGGGACCCCGCTGTTGTACCTTAACCAAACTGTTTCAGCAAACCCGAATGTATAAATATAAAAAATCATCCAAGTTGCATTCGGATAGTAAGTCCATCCATACCTATTCACTAGAGCTAAAACACCAGGAGAGCAAGAGTTTCCAGATGAAGAGTGGGACTGAAATCCACTCATTTTAGTAATCAGAAGATTGCTAAAAAGGATCAGGACAGCTCTGGGTGGAAGAAAAACCGGGACAGGACTCGGTGAACGCTGGGAAATGTCCCACGCTGCCATGCCCTCTCGCTCGTGCCCGGAGAAACTCCTCGAAGGAAGCCGCAGCTGAGCCCTGCAGCCACATGCGGACTCGCAGGACCAGAAACTCACAGCTCAGGGGGCAGGGGGGGGTGACGTGCCCGCACACGCTCGCACCCGCAGGGAGGCGCCCCGTGTCTTTATTAAACTCATACGCAATCCGTTCCATGCAGAGCACATTTTCTCAAAAATAAAAATTCCTCCTCTGTGAAATCACTCGAGCCCCAGTCTCCTCCTCCTCCTCCTCCTCCAGTGCTTCCTCGGTTGCTACTGAATGAGCTGCTTCACCGACGAATCCTTGCTGTTGTGCACCAGGCTGGACGAGCACGCAAGTGAAACCAGAAGACATGTCACCGACCATCATGACAGCATGCGACAGTTAATAAACCAGCACATCCACCTTGATTCAGACAAGAGGGTTAATACACAAGCTGCATAAGCATAATGAATAGAGAAACTGGTCAAAATATAACTGGGGGGCAGCGGCTAGGGAGAACTTTAAAATCATTTCTATTCCACAGATTCTACACTGACAGGCTGAAGGAACTGAACCTTTTTAGTCTTGAACGAAGGTCACTATGAGGGGACCCGTGTTCAAAATTCTCAAAGGCTCTGACAAAGTCAACCCGCTGGAATTCAGATTCAGCAGTGAAACGAACCAGAGGACACAAGTGGCAAGAGCTTTTAAAACTGAGAATAGGAGGCACTTTACCTTACTTTAATTTTGGGGGGAGTCTAGAACAAGCGACCCAGCCGTGTGGTTGAAGCCCATACCATGGCTTGCTTCAAGAGGCAGATGGATGAGATCCTTGGAACAATTAGTAACGACCAAACGGGCTGACAGAATGGGCTCCTCTCGTCCATGACATAATATTCTTACGTTCTTAGGGTACGCGTCTTATTTGTTCAGTTTGGGGTTCAGTACTGGCGCTGCAGAGGGGAGGAGAGGGGGCTTGAAGTTGATACAGCTCGAGGTCTTGAACAGTGCCCGTACAGTGGGGTTCTGTAGCCGCAAGTCCTCTTGGAATAAAAGCAATTCTTATTTTCAGGTTGAGCTATTTCATGGCCTTCCCCCTGGTACTTCTCAAGAGACACAGGGGACGTTCCTCCTCTGTACGTCCAGAAGGGAGTGCAGTGCAGAGAGTCACTATATTTGAACTGCGTCAGCTCAGCGGCGGCAAGTGTAACATAAAGAAAAAAAAAATCAACAAAAAATGTCCGCTCATCAGGGGCAATCTTGGATTGCCAGCGGACCAACAACAGAGCTCCGGAACAGGGGGAGATCCAGGGAAGCAGGACCAGGGGTTTTCCACATCCGTAACCACCTCATGGGCACCGGCGTCCACCCGTTACATAACGGAGGGTTTACTGAACTGGAATACTCTGGCAGTAAAATAGACTGAGTGGGATTCGATCACATCAGGATGGGCTGGAGACAGTCAGAAGCCTTCAGAGCTGATTTTGAACGTGAGGCCACATGTCCTCGACACCTGTACCTCAACGACTGAGGCCCCTTCTCCCGTCTCAAAACGGATCCCTCCAAGCTGCAGTACACAGGTCTGAACGGAGGGGTTGAGAGATTTAATGCAGCGCTCTCTTCCTCCAAATCTCTCCTTTGCTCAGTCCTCCAAAGCTCCCGGACTTATATTTAATAATATACCCATCTCTCCCCCCAACTGGGCAGCGGCAGCTGTGAATGACGTTGCCGTCTCCATGGCAACCCAGCGTCCCTCAGTTTTTTTTAAGGAAAAAAAAAGAGGGGGAAGAGAACAAAGGCGGGCCGGCTCATTCATGACAGCTTAATTCACAGCTCATTCAGCGC